CCACCCAACTCATACCAGTAAAGTTAATATAAGACCCACCCAACTCATACCAGTACAATTAACTTAAGCCCCACCCAACTCATACCAGTACAATTAATATAAGCCCACCCAACTCATACCAGTACAGTTAATATAAGACCCACCCAACTCATACCAGTACAGTTAATGTAAGACCCAAACAACTCATACCAGTACAGTTAATATAAGACCCACCCAACTCATACCAGTACAGTTAATATAAGACCCACCCAACTCATACCAGTACAGTTAATATAAGACCCACCTAACTCATACCAGTATAATTAATATAAGACCCAAACAACTCATACCAGTACAGTTAATATAAGACCCACCCAACTCATACCACTACAGTTAACATAAGTCCCACCCAATTTATACCAGAACTGTATATCCATAAATGTAATTTAAAAAAGGGGGGTTGGTGAGTAGGAGAGAAAGAAAAGCCATCAATGTTTCACGCGTAGGAATAACAAACTATTTGTTTTACACCAGCCGCCTAACGGCTTTTCACGAGAAGGCAAATGTTATTGTAAGCCTGTTCAATAATGTTTGACCACAAAATGTATGGCGCGCCTGGAGTGTCTGGCCACGCAAACCGTAGATCACAAGATGATGAAGAGACTGATCACAAAATAGGTCGGGAGGGGCCGGACTATTTGAGGGATGGGTGCGAATGTTGGAAGTTGATTGTGATTCGTACTAATAAGAGTGACTGTACTTTGCAAAGATGATAATAATGCTTTAATCTTTAAAATGTGTTGTATTTTAATTATTTTTTTTTTTTGTTTGGCAATTCTCCTTTTTTCCAGACTTAAGTAAATCTTTGGTTGCGCCTCGTCTAATAAAAGTAAATAATAATAAAAATAAAATAATAAAATAATAAATAATAAATAAAACTAATTCAGACTTAGGTTCCAAATAGAATGGTTTTCTTTTTCTAACATAAACATTGAGTCATTGAGAGATTGCGTAATATAACAACGCTCACGGTCTTTCCATTAGGGCATTACTGGGCTATGACATTATCACTACTTATTTATACTGCTATTGAAGTTTTAGTTTATTATTTTTTTGTCTTGGTCGTATTTGCATGAGAAGAATGAATCTAAAAGTGTTTATGGCTAGAGCTGTATTTTGGTTAAAGCAAGGGAGAGTCGCTCCATTGGTCAGCCTCACTCTCTCATCCTTGTCCATTTGATCCAATGCCAATCCTTGGTCTAGACGTCTGGAAATAGACCAGGATGCAGTGGATGACCAGCCATGTTTCATGTGTCTCACTTCTGCTCTGATGTGTTCCACGTTATAGAACTTGTCGGAATTTTCATTGTGTCAATGTCTAGTAAAAGACACGAGACTTGAAGTGAAGGTAAATTTAAAAATATTTATAAGTCTCAAAATAGTTAAGATGAGCATATTTCGATAAAAAGTTTCCGACGGACGCCCCTGGACCCCTATTTAGCTGGAGGGCGTCCCCCCACCCAAACCCTCCTTGGCTGTGACCCGTTTTTTTCCAGTTCATGAGTTGGTCACCCTACTTTAAGGGGACTACCACAGTAGTGCAGTAGATCGGGGGGGGGGGGGGGGGGGAAGGGCTGGAAAAAAAAACTTGATCATATCCCGGCCTTTGGGTTAAGATGAAAGTGNCCTGGACCCCTATTTAGCTGGAGGGCGTCCCCCCACCCAAACCCTCCTTGGCTGTGACCCGTTTTTTTCCAGTTCATGAGTTGGTCACCCTACTTTAAGGGGACTACCACAGTAGTGCAGTAGATCGGGGGGGGGGAGGAGGAAGGGCTTGAAAAAAAAACTTGATCATATCCCGGCCTTTGGGTTAAGATGAAAGTGTAGAGTCGCAACCCAGCAGGTGACCAAACCTTTTTGGGGGTAACATGACAGCGCGCCTTGTGGCTGGCCAAAGCCGGGAGAGCGGTAGAAGAAATGAGAGAGTCGCACGTCCAAGAGACCCGCAAGGGCAGGTTGTGGGGAAATGCCTTCCGTTGGTCGGTGTATGGGGATAGCTTTGGGATGAGCTTATCACCTGCTCGTGTCTAGGGGTTGTATGTGTCATCAAATTCACCCACTAAGGGACATAACTACAAACTTATTCATTTATAACTACATAATCAAAAGAAATCATAACAAAATTTCAAGAAATTAAATAAACTGATTTATTAACACGGATTTCACAACAGTTCAAACGTTAAAGTGGGTAGGGTTATGAGGTGCCTTTGCATATAATTTATATCCAGGTTCTATGGAGTATGGACATTTGCCTACCATAGTGCCTCACATTCATCATAAGAGTTAATTGCTTTGTAACAGAATTCTATGTGATCAGTGCGTTAAGACTGAACTTTATCAACATAAAATAGTAAAGATGATCTGGCTTGATCAATCCATTTGGGGGTCAATTCAATGTTGGAAGTGATTTCTCCAGTCCTCTGCTTCGTGGCTTCTCGGGGTTGGAACTTCTTGGCCTTTTGGCTTTTCTATTCCCGGCAGGTTACCAAACCTACATGGGTGACTTGTGACGTCACGCTTTGTGTCCGATCATAGCCGACAAGATCGATGGAACAGCCAGAGACCAGTGAGAGTAGATTTTGAAAGGACTACCCAACTAGTGTAATATATCTGGGGAAACACTTTTAAAATTACATTGTTTCTGTGTTTGTGAAAAGTTATATTTCGTTGCAATACATGAGTACAAAATGTCTGCCCAATGTTTTACCGTTTGGAGTGTGTAACTGTCAAGTGCTCACAACCCCAACTCACTTTTAAGTGCACACAACCCCAACTCGCTGTCAAGTGCACACCACCCCAACTCGCTGTCAAGTGCACACCACCCCAACTCGCTGTCAAGTGCCCACCACCCCAACTCGCTGTCAAGTGCACACCACCCCAACTCACTGTCAAGTGCACACCACCCCAACTCACTGTCAAGTGCACACCACCCCAACTCACTGTCAAGTGCACACCACCCCAACTCACTGTATAGTGCACACCACCCACACTTACTGTCAAGTGCACACCACCCCAACTCACTGTCAAGTGCACACCATCCCAACTCACTGTCAAGTGCAAACCACTCAAACTCCCTGTCATGTGCAAATTTACCCCAACTCGCTGTCAAATGCACACCACCCTAAATCACTTTTAAGTGTACACCACCCCAACTCACTGTCAAGTGCACACCAAACCAACTCACTGTCAAGTGCAAACCATCCACACTTACTGTCAAGTGCACACCACCCCAAATTACTGTCAAATGCTCAATGCCAACTTATTAGTTATTACTATATCTTGGAAGGAGTCCTTCAGGGCCACAACAGCTGAAGTAATTGGGGGACTTGTTAAGGAATGCGGCAATAGTGCCAAAGATCTTACTGCCTTCTACCAGTTTGATGATCCACTTAAGTGCAACTGTCAACTGCGAGAGGCAGCAGCAATAAAACATTTCTCAAGCATAGGGGCAAAGATTCATAAGGCATTCGAGGGGAAACATGCATTAGCTGATCATGTAGGAAGGGAAAAGACCAAAGTGATACTTTACTGGGTCCCTTTCACTTTGCCAAAGGAAGTTGTTGGGAAATATGATGTCCTTCCTAAGCAAGGAAAAGGTAGAGGCGTATCCACATAAGATAGAGGAAAGGTAGAGGCGTATCCACATAATACCGAGGAAAGATTAAGGTGTATTCACATAAGATAACTCTGATAGGTTGACTGTGTTTTTCAGAGCAGAGCCCGTACAAAAATCCCTTATCTTATGTTAGAATTTGGGAGCTTCAGAGAGAAAAATCCCACTGCTTGTGCCTGGCAGGAAGAAGGCGCTCTTGCAGTGGGGGTTGATCGAGCACTGGACCGGTCAATGTATAAGCAGATATAGACTTTAAAACAAATCAGAGGCGGATCGTTTGGAGGCAACGGAGACAAGAGTATGAACCTTTTTTTAAGTTCACATGTTAAAATTTTTGTCAAATTTCTATTTCAGTTGAACTATACTTTATATTAAAACAAAATAATGCGTTCAAAATGAAATTTGAAGCAAAATTTTAATGTGTAAACTGGAAAAAAAGATTCTATCAAATTTCCCTTTGATCAAATTTCCGTCGATCAGTTTTCCGTCAACAAAATTTCTTGCGATCAAATTTCCGGATACGATGAAATTTAATGGAGTTAGGCAGTAAAGACACTTTATGGTATTTAACGTGATACCATGTTATAGTGTTATTTCTCATCTATACAGGCTTTAAGCATTAATGCAGATTACATCCCTTGTCGACAGCAAAAAATCTCATTTGAAAAATATGGAAGAAATGATTTTAAGACCTAAAGAATAAAAAAAACATTGCCAAAAAAAAAAAACAACCAAAGGAAATTAAATATATTTCACACGAAACAAAAAATCATTTTATCCAAATACATTATATTTTACCTATTGCTATTGTAAGGTTTTTCACACGCCTGGTGTTTGCTGACCCGACCAGGAAATAGATAAATTTAAACAGTATATTGCAAAATAAAGGATAAATTATGTCCACAAAAAAAATATTCAATAATCTGACTTGTTTAAACTGCACAAGGTTTTTTTAATGAAGGGATTTAAGCCGTAAAATTTTTTTTTTAAATTTGTTTAAATGTATTATCTTTCTTGAATCTTCACACTTAAAATATTTAATTTATTTTTTAAAAATAAAATAAATTTACTTCGCTTTTGTTCCTGTGCTCTAGGTGTGTGGCAAAAGTCTTCAGATGGCTATATGACCCACTTGTCATTAACCTATCAAGCTGAAACTTAGCAATAATGATTTATTGCTGATGCCAGCACATTCCATCAAATTTTCAGCCCCACCCCAACCTAGATCATGGCTTTAGAAGAAATGTCTCACAGTTGGGATCATTTTGTTTACAATTACAAACCTTAACAAAAACAATAAAAAACATCAAGCCTCAGAGTGTATGGATAATATAAATATCTATAGATTTATTTAAACATTGAAATACTGATGGTTCTAAAACAAGTAGGAACATAACAATCGTTAAACACATAGTTGACCTTTATAAATATGCAAAAACAAAAATTTGAAAATATAAGATGAGCTAACTAAACTTACAGAGTGTAACTAGTTACTGTAGATGAACTAACTGAACTTACAGAGTGTAACTAGTTACTGTTGATGAACTAACTGAACTTACAGAGTGTAACTTGTTACTGTAAGACAGATTTAGGAACATTTTTTTTACTGCATACCAAATATTGAATGGATCTCATTGGTTTACAACAATAATTAATTTAATTAACACATAGTTCTCATTTCTCCTGTTATTTTATAATCAGACTTGTAAAACATGATGTCATAGACATAAGTGGGCCGTTTACAGTGGTGGAAGCTCACAGGATAGGACAACAAGCAAGATGGGTTTTTTTTTTTATTTTAAGCAAAACTGCTGGCAATAGAAAAAAATATTTGATAACTCAGATTTCAAGATATTAGTTGAGTGAAGAAATGGGAAACCAAACAAAAATACATTAAAACTTGAGAAAATGTTAAATGAACAGGTATAGATGATATTTTAAATGATATTGTACATTTGGAAATGGTGTCAGAGGGCCGTCGAGCTAGTACCAAGCTCTTTGTGCCCTCCCCAAAGCAAACCCCCCCCCCCCACAATAATGAGTATAGGGCCACGAAGCGGCACATTGGAGATATCCTATTTAAAATGATATTGTACATTGGGAAAGGGTGTCAGAGGGCCGTCGAGCTAGTACCAAGCTCTTGGTGCCCTCCCCAAAGCAAACCCCCCCCCCCCACAATAATGAGTATAGGGCCACGAAGCGGCACATTGGAGATATCCCATAAATTATATTACATGGAAAGTGGAAAGAGAAGTAGAATTTTCTTATACAAAATTAAAGCTATGTTAGATTTTAAATGAAATATATGCAACAAATAAGCTTTAACTAGTAAATCAATACCCTTGCAGAAACACAATGTTTTAATGAGACATATCACATCTTTGATAATCACAGCATTAAAAAAATATTTGGGTCAATGGTGCTTAAAGTTAACACAGTGACAATGAATAAGAATGGAATGAAATATGTTGCAACAGCAGCAGTAAAAAAAATTCACAATATTTTAACAAATCATTTACAAATAAAATAAAAATATACAGACAATTCAAGTGGCTCTTCATTTTAAGTTTTTCAACAATCATTCTTTAAGATCAAAATCTTTTTTTCCCCAAGACAATGTAGATTTTATGAAAATTTAACAGTAGGCTTCTCATCATCGTAGTAGTCAAAAGGGTTGTCTTTGTTTACCCTTAGGACAGGGGCTTTTCTCTGTGGAACGTCTGCAATCTGGTAGCAGTTGAGCATCTGCCAGACACTTGGGCCGCCTGTTTCTTCTTGTATCTTCTTGTGTTTCTCATGACGCAGTCTTAATGAGTATCAAAAAGATACAAATTTATTTCAGTTTTATTATAAACGAGCTGATGTTACCCAGTGCTTAATCGGGTAAAACATTTGATTATTTTTAAGATTAATGCGTTTTTTTCAATCAACACCAGTAAATACAAACATAGTCACCCCGTCCTTGATAAGGTAGAGAGTATCTCTCATATCTGATGGTGAGCTGACCAAGAAATGATAGGTGGGTTGTGCATGGACCCAGAGTGCATGGTTGGTCATCTATTTATAGCAGATTGTTGTCTGATTTATCTATTGATATTTGCCACAATGCTAGTAGCCTAAATTTAATTATTTTAAAAATTAAAGTTTTTCTTCTAGATTGATTTTGACTAAACATTCTAGGAAACATTTTTAGGTCAAGTGATATGACCACGTCAGGTTGTATGACCATGTCAGGTGGTATGACCATGTCAGATGGTATGACCACACCATATGGTATGACCACGCCAGATGGTATGACCACGCCAGATGGTATGACCAAGCCAGATGGTATGACTACGTCAGATGGTACGACCATGTTAAAATTGGTGGCTATCCATTGTTTGGTTTTAATGTTTTTAATTAATATACATAGTCACACTGCACTTTGAAATAGTAGATATTGTTTCATTAAAAGTTTGACCCAACTTTAAATAATCAGTGAATTAGGTAATATCATCATACTTTCTAAGCACTACTAAATGGTAGCCTATAAATCTAGGATAGAGAAACATTTAAGATGAAAGGAGTTTTCATTTCCTTCTCTGTCACTGTTCACAAGAAATGTTATGTGGCAAAGGATTCTATATATGTGTACTTTATTATCTTCATAGCTAAAATGATATCTATCATTCATAGATTTTTATAGCACACATATCTTGCATTGAATCCAAAATAAGGTTAAGTGTTATTTCAGTGTATTTACTGGTACAAAATGTATAGGTATATGTTTTTTGAATTTAAAAAAAATAAACTCTCAAGGTTATTTCCATTGTTATGGCCGGAAGTTGGATTTTCCAAAACCAAGATTACAGGAAGTAAAAGAATTTATGTATTATTACCGTAAAAAAAAAAATCTTAACTGACAAAAATATTTTGGAGATAAATAAATATAAGAAAAGAAATACAGGGAATTTGAGGATCATTAGGAGGAGAGTATTTAATTAATTCCTTATGGTGATATGTGCCAAAAAGCTGAATTAATTTCTTTTCCTTTCTAACATCTTTCTCTGTTGTGTTGGTACAGGAAATCAGTGCCATAATGGAAACATGTAATGTCCCTATTTGTTTATCTCCGTTAAAATGGGATGAGACCAGGTGAAAGTTTACCCTGTTCAATATCACCAAGATGTTCAGTGAACCTATCTGATAATCTTCTACCAGTTTTGCCTACATAACAGAAGTGGCATCTACGACACACAATATCACAGATCACATTTCAACCAACACATGTGAAACCCTCTTTGATCGTAATGTACCTTAGGGAGGCTAATGTTTTTTGTTAGCTTTATTATCCTTTACAAAAATATCTGTGGCGAAAATGTAAAAAACTATGTATTTTTTTTTATTAGTTATTATTGTGCTCACCTCTTGCCTGTTCCCCTATCAAAAGGTCTGTCTTGCAGCATGGCCTTGATCATATCATCATCCACAACATAAGTTTGTTTGCTGCTGAAGGCAACTTGAGGTGATGCACTGCGCAGGCTCTGATGTAAAGAAGCCCACAATTAGGATCCGCGTTAAAATTTACTCGTTGAATTTGTAAAGCCATTGTGTAATAAAAGAATTTTACAATTGTACTTTTTAATTTCACCCTTCAAACTTTAGATATTTATAGCCTGAACTAAAAGGTGAAAAACCAGGCACAATATTTTATTATTTTTTCTTCTTTTTTTTTTCTTATTTTTGAGGGGCCCACGATCAATTAGTTGATCATTCTGGCTCCTGGTTTAAATTCAGAGTTTGCCTTCTCTTAGATGGGTTGCCGTCCAAGGCTAGCGAGTCCCTTCCACCCGGGGTGCTTGGGATGTTGGCTTTGGTGGGGATTGAACTCCAGACAACCAGCTGTTTGGTTTGAGAGAGTTTAGACCGCTCGGCCACCCAGCACCCTGGATGGTGTATTTCTATCTTTTTTTTTTTAAAGATTTCAATTTTTCCTCTTCCTCAATTTGATTTAAAAACTGAGACAAAGAGAATTAAAATAAAAAAAATTTATTGGTTAGAATATTTCCTAAAGTAAGGCCAATAGTAATTGTATTAGAGTTCATTAGAATCATTAATGTACCTTATGTATTAGAGTTCAAAGTTTATTAGAAATACTTAATGTACCTTATCCTCCCCTTCTCCTTGATGAATGATGTCATGAGTGGACTGCTTCTCTAACAGGATGGGATGGGATGGCAGGCTCAATGGGTCAATGAGTACATCATAAGGCACCATCGGGTACTGAAAAGTGGCTGGGTTGTGAAGGTCCCATAACTCTGGTTGGCCAAGAGTTCCTTGAGGAGGAGGTGCACATTTTCATGGATTAAAAATTTTTTCTACTAATATAAATGAAACCACATGTTGAATGGTCTTCAGATTAAGTATCAGTGCTATGCCAGTACTGAATCAAGAGCCTAATAATGATAAAATATATCTCAGTAGAACATCACTGCCAAAGAGTTCCAACTCAGACTGGATAACATTAAATATATGACTTTTAAAATCATTAACATGTACATATCTGTTTTATAAAAGTATTATCATAGGGCCGCCCATAAGTTATATACACAAGCAAGAAGTCTCACATTTAGAGATTTTGCATACAGTTGCACAAGGGGAGAAGAGCTTTGCTTTGCTCTTAAGTTCCTTGAATTAGGTTACCATGGCCACCACAATGTTCACTTAATTTAATGCACAACTTACAAGTTGACTGCCAATAAAAAAACATCAATTACAAGCTTTAAAGAAATTATTAGTTTATTCAAATGCTAAAGAAAACTTCTGAATGGTATTCACATTTCACCTTACCAACATAATGTCCTTCCGTTGTCCACAATCGGACAGTGCAGTCACTGGATGCTGTGATTAGAATGTTACTTGTTTCTACTAGATCCATGCTGGCCACACTTTCGACGTGACCACGCCACTTGTAGAGCACTTAGGCAATATTAAAAATAAAAATATGACTGATAAAATCATCACTAATACTTGGAAATATTTTGAACATTTAATTGTACTTTAAATGAAATTAAATTAAGTAAATAAATAAGAAAAGGTTTTTGAGAAAAAAAGACGAAAAGAAAAAAGATGCATTTTTTAACTTACACTCAGGGGGCTCATTGGCTGGTCGTGTCAGGCAGTAGTCAGCAAAATTCCAGACATATATGAAGCCAACAGTATCACTTGAATAAACTGTTGTGTTGTTGCTGTTGGAAACCAGCTGTGATACCATTGCACCTTTCATTTTTGACTGCAATTTACAAGAAAAACTAAGCAAAAAGAGTTCATTGTTTTTGCAACAAAAAAATACATTATTTTCCATTGTTTTCATCTGATTCCCAAACTTTTCTATTCCCTGCTAAATCCAGGCTTTCCCATGCATGTGTTATTTCAAATTCTAACAAGAACTCTGCTAAATATTTTATGGCATCCCAGTGAGGAAGCCGCAGCACACTCTGAGAACCACTTTACTAAGGAAAGGAAAAATAAAATCATGTGTGTATTTTCCCATCATTTTTCTTTTATTGAACCCTTCAGTATCACATTTTGCTGTTGTATCACAAGCCATCATGAAATTGTTCATGACTTATTAATCTATTTTAAAGCTTTATTGCACTCACACACTCTAACAATTAGTCTGAAGATAATGTTGCACTGAAGGTCAATAGTTTAATTTATAAGCCTTCCCAAGAATACACGATGTTAATTATTATGTATAACATTAATAAATCTTTAAAATAATTACAAGTTAAAAAGTTACCAACCCCTGGGAACTGGGCCATTAGCGTTCCGCCTTGAAAGACATTCCAAACATGAATGTGAGCACGAGGCCCACTGACCACCAAAGCACCTGCATCTTTCTTGTATGCTCTTGTCTGGAGAAAAATTAACTTGGCAATACTGAGATCTCCGTCAACTAAAAAAAAAAAAAAAAATCACATTAAAATCCCATGACACTTTGCATTTTGATTGAATATTTTTTTGTTTTCTTTCATGCACGTTACAGAGGTTTTTGGCCCACTGACCACCAAAGCACCTGCATCTTTCTTGTATGCTCTTGTCTGGAGAAAAATTAACTTGGCAATACTGAGATCTCCGTCAACTAAAAAAAAAAAAAAAATCACATTAAAATCCCATGACACTTTGCATTTTGATTGAATATTTTTTTGTTTTCTTTCATGCACGTTACAGAGGTTTTTCACAAACTGAAGAGTCTTAGCAATTCAATAAATTTGTCAATATCATAGGAGTATATAATTAAATGTGCACTCACGTGATTGATCTTCATAACCTGGTGGAGGTGGCGGATTGAGGTGACAGAAAATGTGACCTGACACCAAATTCCAAACAATGACCTCTCCATCGTAGCTTCCAGTTGCCAAAAGATTGGGTAAACAGTTGGCCACACAGAGAACATCTTCCTTGTGGCCATTTTTCTGTAAAAAAAAAAAAAAAAAAATTACTTCAAGGAAAATGAGACCAGTACCGACATCTTCCTTGTGGCCATTTTTCTGTAAAAAAAAAAAAAAAAAAAATTACTTCAAGGTCATTGGGACCAGTGTCGTAGCTGGGGGGGTGCGGGGGGTGCGGACCGCACCGGGTGACACCGACCCTAGCTACGCCACTGATTGGGACAATTTATAATGCAGGTTTGAGTCTTATAAATAAAGTTCACCTTGACTTTAGCTTTATTGTTTCTTTTTAAAAAATAATAATTTTATAATACTTATATGTTTTAATAGTATTTTTAAATATGTACTGCAAAAATGTAAAGAATCTGCTCACAAGGTCATCATTCCAGTAAAGTGCTGGATGCTGAGTATGATGTATATTATTGTCATTGACAGTGTCATAATATATGTTGATTCGTTTGTCCCATCCGACTGCTATGACCAATCTGCAATTTTATAAATATACATAATTAAGTATTTATTGTAAACATGAAATCATTTGTAAATGTTCAGCATAAAATATCTATACTAAAAATATTTAAAATACGTAAAACAGAGTTAAATTATTCAACTTTATTAAGTTTATATATACCTGTTTTTATTCATTTCAATGTATGTGACATCACATATTTCATTATTATGTACCTCTGAAAATAATAAATACTGAATAAATAATCAGGGTAGATGAATTTTTATTTTTTATAATGTTAAGTACCATCTGATGGTTTTGCAAATTTAATCAATTTATTTTGTTTTAAGATTTGCCTTGTTAGATAAACAATACATAACAAAGGAATGAGAACCAGTATACAAATAAAAACAATACCAAAGCCAGTGATACTAACAATATTTGTTTAATTATATAAACACACATAATGAGTAAAATCTAATAAGTCTGGTAAGTCTCATTAATATGTCTCACAATTAGGAAGTCTAGCAAATCTATCCCCCACTGGGAAAGCTACCTGCTTATTTATAGGAAGGTAGTCAGAACCCAGAAAATAAGTTTTAGAAATTGCATCACCCAATAGCATTCTTCAAAACAAATTAGAATGTAAACAACCTTTTCCCAATCAAGGGAGGAGTGGGTAATGGTAATGCACTACAAATTTATTTGGTGATGTCAATGAAAACAAAACAAAAAGGGGATGGGAGATAAGTGGTGGACACTTCAGCTCTACATTGAAGCAAAATTAGGTCAACACACAGGCTATAACATGCACAAAATCAAATGAGCAATAAAAAGAATGTTTTTTACTATGATTGAGTTAACAGTCAAGGAATGCCATAAGTGACATTTGTTTTGAATTACCAGCATTTTTCTTTGGCTTTTTCTTCAACACACGAAGACAATGGCCATTGTTGTAATTCCAGATTTTTAAAGCCCCATCTCTACCTCCAGTTATAAGTCTGTATAAAAAATTATTTCAAATATTTTATAACTCACAATTTAAACTAAAATAAATATATAATAGTTTTAAAACATTTTACTTACACAATTTTATGAGCAAAAAAAAAAAACCTGTTCATCTAAGCTTTTCATGTAAGAGAAATAAAAAGATTTAAGCCTAGATTTACAACAATTATTTAAATGAATAATAATAATAAAGTTCATTTCAAAAACACGCTTCATCCCCAAAGGCTCGAAGCTACTAGTGATCAAACTATTTGAGTTATCAATTAGTGACTATCAATGCAATCAGTTTTTTTTAACATTGATAACCAATGAAACTATCCAGAAAGAGTATTAGAGCTAGCAAATGTTTTCTGTCTGATCATCTAATACAACCAGCTTATTGGGTTTTTTTTAATGGCAGCATAAGAAAGCTGTCATGACCACAACAGTTCCAATAACTCTCACCATTTCTAGGAACTGATAAATAACTATTGTGCTTATGGCCGACTCTAGATGTGAGGTAAACTTTAACACATTCATTTCTTTGTCATCATTTTTGGGGGGATTTCACTGATTTATATAATTATAGAGGTGTAGAAAATATTAACAGATATTGATAAGGACATGTAATGAAATGAAATTAACCCCTAACCTTCTTCTAGTGTTGTCAAAGGTCATACATGTGATTGCCTCTTCTCCATGAGCATCCCCATATTCAAAGATTGGGGCCCCTGTTTCAAAATCCCATAATTTGATTATCTGTGAAAGAGCAAATAAAGATGTTGTTTTTTTAAAAACGAACAGGACGAAAGAGGATGTGTCATCAAACCAAATCAGATTATTATTATAACATTATTTAAACTTTCTGATGTAAAAATATTTATTTTTATTTCCATAAGGATGAAGCCTTATTTGATGTACTTACACCTTCAATTTAAATTAAAATAAATATTATAACAAAAAGTAAGGAGAAGAATTCAATAATACACAAAGTTTCTATAGTTTTTAAACAATATATTTATATTCGTAAAAACCAACACTAATGGAACCACCTAAAAAAAATGGCACATTTTTTATGGTTTATCAGAATCATTTAAAAAAAAATAAAAAATTCTAGGAAAAATTATAATTCATGGATAAAGCTTCTATTGTTAATGAAGGAATTATATTTAAAGATCAAAAAAAAAAAAGAATTACAGATCCAGTGCAGCAGGTAATCACTTGTTTAAACTCTGGATTGTATTTGCAGCATGTGACTGGATCTTTATGGGTCACTACCATGTCTGCATTCAGCAGGGACCTTTGGATGAAACCAAATAAATAATAATGTTTTCTTTTTTAAATCTATTTGTGTATATTAGAAAAAAATGCTGAATTTCTTTGTAATAAATTATGCAGCCTCTCATATGCACTGCCAGAGCAGCCTCTCATATGCACTGTCAGAGCAGCCTCTCATATGCACTGGCAGAGCAGCCTCTCATATGCACTGTCAGAGCAGCCTCTCATATGCACTGGCAGAGCAGCCTCTCATATGCACTGGCAGAGCAGCCTCTCATATGCACTGTCAGAGCAGCCTCTCATATGCACTGTCAGAGCAGCCTCTCATATGCACTGTCAGAGCAGCCTCTCATATGCACTGTCAGAGCAGCCTCTCATATGCACTGGCAGAGCAGCCTCTCATATGCACTGGCAGAGATCAGTGCGATAATGATTAAGAATATAGACTCATTGGATAATATGTTCTTTGTCTTTTTTTGTGTGGTTATTAATGACCATATTTTACCACCAGAAATTTAGGTTAAAAAAATGCTACTTAAACTTAAGTTTTAAATTATGTGAGTATGAAAGCAATTATTGCATTAAGCAATATGTAATGATGCCTGAAATCTACTTTACCAATTTGCATTTTGTGACCTAGTGTGCAGAGAGTATCTGAGCATAAAGCATATAATGCAGGTAGCATTCCCTTGACGGGATAATAGCATAATTGTATTAGTATGAACACATTTCTTTTTAAGCAGTAAAATAATTTTAAGGATTTTGACTTAAAAGTTTAGTTTGTAAATGCGTGTTCTATTATTCATAATTTATGGAACAAGATTAACAGATAGCATTTTATGTTGACATAGCATTTTATGTTGACATAGCATTTTATGTTGACATAGCATTTTATGTTGACATAGCATTTTTGCGCTTTCCCAAAACAAAAGTTAGTGGTTGACATAATACATCAGACCTGTTTACTCTTACGATTTTGGCGTACAATGTACGATTTTGAGGTGTATAGATTGTATATACTGTATGTTTTTTTACTATGAATATAACGTATTAAATGAAATTGTGATGATATTGTACGATTTTAAGAGTTTGAGGGTAAACAGGTCTGAATACATGGATTAGATTTTTATTTGAAAACAGGTAATTATTTCATGATTTTAAAATATCAACAAAAAATCCTTACTTAAACATAATATGAACATTTATTAATACTGAGAGATAATATGAACACATATCAATACTGAGAGATAATATGAACACATATCAATATCGAGAGATACTATGAACACATATCAATACTGAGAGATAATATGAACACCACATATCAATATTGAGAGATAATATGAACACATATCAATACTGAGAGATAATATGAACACATATCAATATTGAGAGATAATATGAACACATATCAATACTGAGAGATAATATCTACACATATCAATGCTGAGAGATAATATGAACACATCAATACTGAGAGATCCTGTCATTTTTTATTCCACCCGCCCTGCTAAAAAGACTTACATTTTTTAAAATTTTGTATCTTCATCTAACTGCCTTCTGTGCCACTCACCCCTCTCAAAATATCCACAAACTATCACCTTCTACCTTCCCCCAAAAATATTTTTCTTGCTCCCACTGCTCAATATTTTGCAAGCATCCTGAGATATATAAAGTATAGCTCACCATGTTTACATTTATATAGTGTCAAAGAGCACTCACTTATGTTTAAGATTTAAGACAGCCATTTGATCAGTGGCCACAGCTAAAGATCTAGAAATACTGGAGTAATGAATGGCTTGTAGGTCTCCACGAATTTTGTGACTTTTAGGCCGGATGGTCAGTAAACAGGTATGGTCTTGAATATCCCACACCTGTTGTAAAATATAAATTTGTATTTGTCAAAATTAGCAAATGAACACAAGCTTTAAAACGTCATCTCCTTCCATTTACGAGCATTTATTTTTTTAGTATAAATATTTTCACAGATTATAAAAAATTTTCTAGTATAAGAAATTGAATTTTATAAAAAGATTTTGACTAGGAAAAAATTAAGAAAATTCAGTAGCTTAATCCTCTAAATCTTCTCATTGTGCCTACAACATATTTAGGTGTAACATTTAGAACATCTCATATAGCATTTAGAACATGTCATGCAGCATTTAGAACATGTCATATAGCGTTACGTAAATTGAATTTTAAAAGTAAATACTTAACATACCTTAATGCACCGGTCAGTTGATATACTAAAGATTCTGTTATCTTCATCCGCTATGAACAAGTAGAAGATTGGAGCAGCATGTCCACGAAGCATAGCTGTTGGTTTTCTAAAAAATATTGGTAAGGTACAAAAATAATATTTTTAACATAAATTTAATTTTTAACTATTGCTTGGGGAGAAAAATTAATATTATGTTAAAATAAACTTTTTGGTGAATCTTGATACCCAATTAAGATCTCCGCATTTTAAATGAGAGATTTTAATAAAATCTTTTTTTACTAAAGGAAAAAAGACTTTTTAAAATAATAAAATGACAAAAATATTTTAATGCACCTAAACAGAGCTAAGGAAAATGACTAATTCTAGTGTTAACAAAGGGAAGAAAAGAAAATTTAACTCACAAACAGACATATGGATTCCACAACCTGATAATTCGATCCATACCTTTAGAAAAAATTTAGACAAAGAAATATCCATTTATTATATTTAAAAGAACCAGATTAAAAAGATAATTATCATTACACAGAAATTCTTCCAGAATAAAGTTATAAATCGACCCTAAAGTAAAATGGTTATATGAGATCGTTTTATACAAATACAATCCGTGTAATTGATGATCTTATTTCTTTTTAAAGTTCTTTGCTTCAATATGTTATGAGCTTCTTCATTGAAAGAATGTTTCGTATGTCAAATCTAAGTAATTGTTTTCATTTTTGGCACAATTATCTTACTTTAATAGACACACATAAAGCCATGCTTCTTTCACATTTAAGATCAATAACCAACATTAAATGAAAGTAATGATGGTTCTTAACTATTGTAGCAATTATTGTAACTGGCAGTGTACAAAAATTTCTCTACAAAGTTCTTCCTGAGACCACCTCTTGTCCTCAGACCAATATCATCTCTACTGACCATCTAACATGTACCTTCTCACTACAATGATTGCTCAGACATCTCTTATCGACACTGACTACACTGACTAACTAGCTTATACCTTCTCACTACAATGATCACTCATTATACTGACAACAAAAGAACTCCAGGAACTAACCTTGGATACCACCACCCCCCCCCCCACCCAACCAGTCACAACACGACCTAACAAAACCTCTCACCAATTCACAATCAAAAACTTTCAAAAGACTCCCAGATCCAGGTGATAAGAGAAATGTATTCCCATTCACTCATTATACTGACAACAAAAGAACTCCAGGAACTAACCTTGGATACCACCACCCCCCCCCACCCAACCAGTCACAACACGACCTAACAAAACCTCTCACCAATTCACAATCAAAAACTTTCAAAAGACTCCCAGATCCAGGTGATAAGAGAAATGTATTCCCATATAAGTCATTATTTAATAAATGACCACATAAAAAATTGAAATTAACTGGACATATGACAAATTTTGCATTAACTCTTACTTACCACCTGTTACAATGATATTATTCGCATTAACTCTTACTTACCACCTGTTACAATGATATTATTCGCATTAACTCTTACTCACCACCTGTTACAATGATATTTTTGGCCTTTGAAAAGTCAAATACTTTGACCCCTTTGTAGATTTTGAAAACCACCTCATCTGCTTCCAGCCTCTTTTTGGCCTGGTTGTAGGCATACTTTTGGCGTGATTTTTCCTGTGTGCTAGACAGATCTTTGATTTCTTTCAGCTGCTGCTCAACATGTGTGCTTCCTATTGTTGATCCTGCATTCATTTGAATTCATGTAGAAACAATTACTAATATGGTAATATGAGGTAATCATTGATGAGTTTTAAATAGTAATTAAAGGCACAAAAAACAATATCAGTTTCTTTACTAACTAATAAGTTGGGTTTTTTTACTATCGATATTTTGTGGTAGTCATACTTTAATAATCAAATTTAAATATAGTTTTGGCAAATTCTTCACTGTTTAAATAGTGATTATGACGGATAATGTTAGCTAGTACTTAATACAAAATACTTGTATCTAGATGAAAGGCATGAAACTTTAAGACATATTACAAAATACCCACCAATAACAAGGGCTGTATTTGAGTTATTTGAACAAGAAATAACTTGGCCAATATCGTGGTAGTATTTGAGCTTAAAAAAGACATTTAAAAAAAATTATTTGATACACTTTAAAAGGACTTTACATTTGTGTTTGTAGAGAACATTAAACATGGATGAAATCTTTTTGGTTGTAGTGCAATAAAATATATTACCTGGCCAACCCAATCATCATGAACCTGCCAACGAATGAAGTTAACATTGCTACCATTGACCACTGCATCTAAAGTAGTTGTGGCTATAAAACCATCCGGTGTTATCATCTTTTTCCATGTTCTGCAGTGAGAAGAAATGAATAAATTTAGCAAAATTGTAAATCCCTGATCAAATATAGTAAGGTAAATCATTAATTTGATTCCTAAATTGTAAATCTCAGTTTCTTGATAAAGTGGGTCATAAAACTAATTTTTCAATACGAGTTTTAAGCCAATGAAATCAAACATACCTGAGGCATTCCCCTGCGGATTTAATAACAAAAATGTTGATGCAGCCCATGTTGTCTCCGAAAAGAATGAGACATTCATCATGCCCTGTGGAACTGAAATTAAAATTGTATATTTGTATACCGGTATCTGTATATTTGTACATCAATTTTCATGAGATGTTTGATAGCATCACTCTCATTTCAAAAAAATGTAAATTCTTAATTAGAAAAGTTGCTACTAAATATCATTTTATCTTAAAATAATTATTGGTCATATAAATCAAGTGATGTTTAAATCAGTTGATTGAAAAAAATTAACTAAACAAGTTACTGTAATTACGAGTAAAAATGTCAGTTATTATCATAATGAATTAAACATGTGGCATAGTATTTTTCATTAGCTGAAACAGGCAAAGGGCATTTGTGCAACTTTTTATTATTTCTAAATTGGTTTTGTTTGACAACGTAACTCAATTGCTGTTTGAAAATATAAATACTTAAGACAAACCTGTAATCTAATTTAAGAGGCACAGTTTCCAATCCACTAATTTGACAATATGGATCAAAGGATGACAATTCAAAAAACTGAATTTCTCTATCCCTGTAGAACAGATAAATATGATAATATTAACAATGGATCATTTGTTGAATTTCAACAATATTTCTATTATTTAGAATTTCTATGCATAGAACTGAGTCATAGTGATCTTTTAAACACATTTTATATTTATTTTAATATTGTCATAAATTAATATAAATTTTGATTAAAACTTACTTTTTTAAAAGTTTATTGCAATGAAATAGGGGTCAAATATTAAAAATAGTTGCAATTAACTCACCCAGTCCCAACAATCAATTTGTTAAAATGAGGCATCAGACAAAAATCTGTTATCCATTTAGCTTTGGTTCTGTTGCTCATTATCTCTTGATTCTAACAAGAAAGGACGTAAATGTGACAAATTAATTAAGTTAAAAATCATTGTAAATCAAATATCTCATTTGTCAATTATCTCAAAAAGAATCTTTTTCTTAATTTTAAACTCAAAGTTCAGAAAGCACTGTATCATTTACCACAACACTCCTAGTTCTCTTTAACTCTGTTGCAGGAGACCAGAAAGTAACAGTCCCTTCCTGGCTGCAAGCAATGAACGTCCCATCAGCTGTGTCATTAATCCGCAAAATGGGGTCTCGGTGGGGAATATTCTCAATTTTGGCTGGAAGATGAAATGCAACATCTTTGGCTCGGAGGTATGAATCCTCTTTTTCAGCATATTCAAGCTGCATGTAAGTGCAGAACTCATCCCAAGTTATTGTTCCTTCAGACGACCAATCAATTTTCATGAAAAGTGAATCGATTTGAGCATCCTGATTTGTAGATATAAAATTTATTTATAAAGCATAACTTGTAGTTGATGAAAATTTCTTTCGTTTTAAATTTATATTGTTAAGTCTATGCTTTGAAATAAGGATATCTTTTTCAGCATTTGAGAAAATTATTTACAACTGTAACAGGGCGAATTATGGGAGCAGTGTACTTTTTACATTTTTCAAAGGGTGTTTTGGATTACCTTGTTAGGTCCAAGGTTCATTTGTTCTTTCAGTAATCTCTTAAACTCATCCAGATCTAAACTTCCGGTCCTATTCACATCAGCTGATGCAAATGCTTTTTTGAGTTCTTCCAGAGTATCAATATTTATCTTTTCTTCGATCTGGACAAAAAATTTGATTTTTTATGAGTAAGAGCAGCATATAAACAAAGGTTTTGTGTTCATGAGAAAATTCGACCATTTTCTGAAATTCATTTTAAATAATCTGCTTGTAAAATTTTAAAATTAAATACCATTGATAGCGCATTTAAAGAAATGTTTTCTTATTATGCTCATAAAAATTATTCAATAACCCAATAAATTACACAAGAATATATTTATTAAATTTTTTTTTTTTAAATCTCTTTAACATAATAAAATACATTTTTTTTTTAAAACACACAATAAACTCTTTTCTTCTATAAGACATATAATCAATATTGTTAAAAATCAAAATACTTTTCTAGCATGTTTATTAAAGAAATGACCCACCGTTGCTGCAACCCACTGCATGAAACATTGTCCATGGATCATCATCATCCATAATATCCAAGGATAATTTTTCATTTATTATCTTATTTAATCTTATATTTACTATAAGCAGCATACAAAAAATAATATTGATATACAGAATAGTATTCTAGGAAGTTGTTGAAGCATATAATGCATAAATTATTGTAGCAATTTTAGCAGTTATAAAGATGGAATGGGATTGCTGCAGCAAAAATAATCCTTGATTTAAGAAAAAAGTTGTTGTTTTTTAAAATTCAAGTTCTGCAACTCCCTGCTGCAAATAATTTTAAAACATGACTATCATGACTATGATGACTATCATGACTCTGATGACTATCATGACTCTGATGACGATCATGACTCTGATGACTATCATGACTCTGGTGACTATCATGACTCTGATGACTATCATGACTCTGATGACTATCCTACTGCATCTCAGCAAATTAAATTTGTTAAAGATCCAATAGCTTAATATAACACGACTAAATTAAATGACTGATTATATTATAATTATGTCTTTCCCTTGACATTAATGGACTATATTAAATAATATTAATAAAGCCAATAATTAAATCCAGATTTTGCAGCCTACTCCTGCCACTGCAAAAAAAAAAAGTTGTTTTAACCTTTGAAAAAGAGTAAATCTATTTTCAATAATCTAAGTAGGATATTTAAGGATATTAAGACACAAATAGAAATTAAGGCAATTTTGCAGTTGAAATTTTACCCACAACATGACACCAATAGAACAAAAGAAGGCAATAATGAGCTAGAAATTAATTTTATCCACAATATGATACCAATAAAAGAATTAAACAATAACAGCCAGCACATAAGACTGTCATAACAACATGGCCGTCATGAGATGTAAAGTGAAAATAATTCTTAAAAAGCAAAATGAAAAGCGGAGGACTAGGATAAAATGATGATACATGAACATTCAGTTACGCAATGAACATTCATACAGTTACGCAATGAACATTCATACAGTTACGCAATGAACATTCATACAGTTACGCAATGAACATTCATACAGTTACGCAATGAACATTCATTCAGTTACGCAATGAACATTCATACAGTTACGCAATGAACATTCATTCAGTTACGCAATGAACATTCATTCAGTTACGCAATGAACATTCATACAGTTACGCAATGAACATTCATTCAGTTACGCAATGAACATTCATACAGTTACGCAATGAACATTCATTCAGTTACGCAATGAACATTCATTCAGTTACGCAATGAACATTCATACAGTTACGCAATGAACATTCATTCAGTTACGCAATGAACATTCATTCAGTTACGCAATGAACATTCATACAGTTACGCAATGAACATTCATTCAGTTACGCAATGAACATTCATACAGTTACGCAATGAACATTCATTCAGTTACGCAATGAACATTCATACAGTTACGCAATGAACATTCATTCAGTTACGCAATGAACATTCATTCAGTTACGCAATGAACATTCATACAGTTACGCAATGAACATTCATTCAGTTACGCAATGAACATTCATTCAGTTACGCAAGCGTGATTTAACACTATTACAATGATTGAATCAAGTATTAAAATTGATGAATGAAGGCTATAAATAGAACAAGACCTTCTAAAACTTCCATGTAGTTCAAAAGTAGGAATTGACATTTAAAACCAGATTGTTAAGATTATATTTTTGTGAACGACTGCTTCGTGAGACATGAATTCAATAGTTACTGAGCTGTCCTCTGGAAATGCTCTCGGAAACATTGTCGGGCTATCGGGGCCAGATAGCAATAATTAGATTATTCTTTGGCCGATCTGACCAACACTTGCCTTCACCTACCAGCCCCCACCCGCCCTCAAAGGTTCCCTATCTTACTTTCATGCGTGATAAAATGACCAGGGCTGAGACACGCACAGTCAGGGTCCGAGTGTCCATAGTGCAAAGTCCACGACAGGCAGTTCCAGCTCCTCATTCCGGCCAAAGACAATAAAGGACTGGAACAAGCTTCCAAAACCAACAGTTGAGGCGACTACACTTGACACATTTGTGTCTATTGCCTCCTGTCTTCCAACCCCCAGTTCATAATATCATTGCTGAGTCGCTCTTGCAACCAGTGAAGTATCCCCTTCAAAACCATGCACAGTTACATCGCGAACCCCTCTGAAACATAGGAGCCAGAAATATCAATTCATTGATCGTGGGCCCTCAAAATATAGAAGAAGAAGAAGACGTCTTGGCTAAGTGAACAACAAAGTGAAAAGCGTGCATAATTCCCGGAGATTCAAAGGGCCAATGACCCATGAGGTCTCCAGAGTATTGACGTCTGCTCTTCAATGGCAGTATGGTCAAAGTATTTTGCATAAAGTTGATAGAGTCTTGGACATATGTTAATGCAAATTATTGTCTCCTAGGATTTAACTAATAAATACTATTGGGCCTAGCCATTGCCAGGAACGATCCGCCGATACATAGTCTTCGTGGACAAGGCATAATATAGACATGGCTATGGGCATCCACGTAGAATATGCACTGAACCTAACTACTTCAGCCAGGCCTGTTGACAATGAATTCCACCATGTGCGTTATGAGTGTCTGGTGGAGTTTCAAGGGATCTCGCTCTCCTATATATTAAATAATCATAAAATATTGGTGAGACATTGTGGCTGCCTACGTCGTCATCAAATTGATAAATGCATTCATACAGGGCAGGGCATGGGCGCCCGCAGAAAACTTTCTAGGGGGGGGGGGGCAAAAAAATGGATTAACTTTCCAGGGGGGGGGCAAAAATGTTTTAGTAATTTTTGGGGGGGGCAAAAAAATAGATTAACTTTCCAGGGGGGGGGCAAAAATGTTTTAGAAATGTTTCAATGTAGTTTTAATTTACTGTGGCGTATTTGTATGGTGAACGAACGGACAGGACATCAGCTTAGTTACTTTCTCGTTATTTTCTCTTTACTTTAATAAATTTTTTGTATATTTTTGTCTAAAAATTTTTTATCCAATCAATCCAGAGGGGGGAGCAAGTGCCCCACTTGCCCCTACCTGCGGGTGCCCATGGGGCAGGGGCATTCACCCGAAATGAAGTTAGTCTCCAACCTGCATATTTCATGCCCGCATTCACACAGGATTTATCCTGAGCACCCAGGAGTTAGTGAATAATACATGCAGCCCCTGACTTAATTTTCGAATCTGAAATACATAAACTCGGTCAACAACGACGTATAGGTGGTCTCTTGGTCGTTGGTTTGGGAAGGGGGGGTGGTGTCACATTACTTTCAGGATTTCATTCTTGCTTTTACATTTTTTTTAAAAAAACGTTAACCGATAAAACTGAAACAATCTTCAAGTACTTCTAAATCTTCGTTCCGTGTCTTTTGTTTAAAATCAAAATATTAACATAGTTTACATCATTTGCATAGTGATATTAACAACTTTTCACATGCGAAGCGAAGAGAGTCGTCATAAAACTACAGCAGTGACCCCTATATCTGCCGGTGTGCAGTGACCCCTATATCTGCCGGTGTGCAACTTTCTGTCGACAAAATACTTACGAAAACAAATGACAGTAATAAATTATAATTCGCTGCAATGATTGCGACTCTCATTTATCCGTCGGAAAAGTTTGAGGAGCACTGAATTACACGACAATATAGTTCAAAGGTTTTGGTAACGCAACTTACATCCAAGGTTCAGGAATTCGGCTGACCTCTATATCAAATTAGGATGACTTGCAGTTTTGAAACGAAGAGGTCATTAAATTTCGACGTTAACAAATTATGACATGAGAAGACATTTTTTAATATAAACAAAATTAAATGTGTCCATTACTTCAACACCTTCAATGACCACTGTTGATAATGATAGACGAATTAGGTCGCTGTGCAAATGTAACTAAGATGCATGCCTGTCAAGGTCAAGGAATATGGGCAAATCCCATAAAATAGTGATAGACAGTTATGACTGCCAACTGATCACGTGTTTGCGGCTAAACGTCAGTAATCAAACGGCTCGTGAAACGTTTAGCAAAAGATTTCAGCCAATACAAAGTAGTCAATCAACTTCCCATTCAGACATCAGTGAAGCAGTGAATTAAATAACACTCAGTGATTGGCCACTCGTTACGTTGACATTATTTGAACACATAAAAATGTCTATGTTGACCAATTTTACCCTGCGTGAAAAGCCATTTATGGATATCGACTTATGTGATGAGTGCACCAATTAACATGCGTTAAGTGACTTATGAACATATGTGATGTCATACCCAGCCTTTCTTCTCCGTTTCTCCGTAGACGTCCGTCAGAATTCCCTGGTCTCTGAACTTCTTCTTTTTGGGAAACTCATGCTTGCAGTGGCACGCTATCCTAGGTGGGACAGTGGGACTTTTGCTCTGCTTTCTGCTACGAGTTCTGCGTGACCTCCTTTCTTTCTCGCTGGATTTACTTCGAGGTTTCCGTCTCGATACTTTGGTATCACCATCAACGGTTAATGCTTGTGAAGTTCCGGTATCGTTTGGTCTGTCTTGGCTGCTGTGGTTGGACTCAACATTGGGTGTGGATGAGCTGATGTCAAAATACGAAACATTTTCACCTGACGTCCTGAGATTATGTTCATCTCCTGGTCTCACGTCTTCTTCTGGAATTGTCGCCTTGCTGTCGTCTGGTTGTATCAACCAACGGTTCTCGAGATTCCCGCCACTGCCACACTGAACCATTTTGGAAAGCCCAATATCTTGATAAGAAACATCGTCTTGATCGTTGTTTGGAAACTCCTGCTCATTCGCCTCGCTTCTCTTTCTCCGTTTCTTTCTTTTCTTCCGGCCATCGACCATAGATTTTATTGGTGCTTCCAGGAGAGAAATTGATCTTTCGAACAAAATTTGTTCCAGTTCGGGGTCGATATCCCGTGTACTGGCATCATCTGAGGCTAATCGACTCACAAGGGAGTCCTCTAAAATGTCCAGGTTCCACACCAGCTCATCGTCTGCTAAATGCTCCGCCGTATTTTTACTCGCCATGTTTTCGGAGTAATGGTGACAATTCGCAATGACTGAAAATGACGAACTACAAGCAATAACTTATTATTAACATTAGAAAAAAAAATGTGTTGGTTCTTTTGTGTTGTTTCAAACTAAACACGTCATACGGGAAACTGCTTCGACATTTTATATATATTGGATAAAAACTTATTTTTATACGTCAAGCTAAATGTGTTTATTTTTTTTTAAAATAATTTTTTAACGACTGTAGATTTTATTCATAAAAAAATGGCACTTACCATTGCCAAAGCTGCGATCCTCTTCAGATGATCTAGGGCCTGCTATAATAGTACATAAGCACGGGAAGAAAGTGGACTATTGTAATGGATCTCAATTTAATACGTCATTTTTTTTATCTCGGTTATTTATGTTATGACGTGATGTGTTTGTTTCTGCTCGTAGTCGCCCAAACTAAGCGGGATTGGAAATGGGGAAAACAACCCCGGGGAATTTTCTTCCGTCAACTTCATCGGGGAAATATAATTTAAAGAATGGAAACGCATTTTACATTACAGCTATAATGACTCATGACTGCATCTAAGATGTGTCCGATGGAGTTATACTTATAGGCTCTTTATATTTAACTAGTTCGCATTTTAATTAAAGGCGTAACACTGTAAATAACATTTTGCTACATGGTAACCTAAATAACAATTTGCTACATGGTAGCCTAAATAACAATTTGCTACGCGGTTATATTTAAGGGAAACTTTTTTGCTCCCTTCAAAGAACAATTTCTTGAAAAGCTAGATAAAATTACACACGTGCAGAGGCGTAGCGAGGGTGCAGGAGGGGACAGATGTCCCCGGGCGCCAGCTAGTTAGGGGCGCCAAAATGTGCTTTGATATTATTTTATTGATGAAAATAATGGGTTTGAGAGATGAAAAAAAGAAAAAGGGGCGCTTCAAAATGGATCTTGTCCCCGGGCGCAAATCTTGTCCCCGGGCGCCAAACACCCTCGGTACGCCACTGCGCACGTGTTCTCGCAAGCAAACACTAATATATAAATGTGTGACTAATAGCGGTTCCAAAAAAATATTTATTTTTAATTTAAAAAAAGTGCATCCCACAGAACCATTATATACTATCACAAAGCTGGTGTGGATGGAAGGTGAGTTGTTGTGTACAGTTGCCAGCAGTTAGAAACAGACTGACTCCAGCACAAGTTTTAATTTCATTGTTTTCTGGAGAAGGGGAAAAAATACAAGTACAAGTGGAGTTTAAAATTAAAGGATTGAAACAAATTACAAAAAAAAAAAAAAAAAAAAAAAAAAAAAAAAAAAAAAAAAAAAAAAAAAAAAAAAAACAAAAAAAAAAAAAAAAAAAAAAAAAAATGTAATCATGCTATTTATAGAGACGAACCTTCTAATCAAAGTATGATCCAGTTGAATGAATCCACACTGGTGAGACCGGGTCACAGACAGATCATTTTTATTTTGACTTTTGAATACATTAATATAAACTTTTTAAACATTACAACAGGTCTATACTTTAACCCTTAGCGAATGTCGGCTACATTGTGTTGGTGTTGTGCCAGTCGAGCGTGAATTACCTCCCATGCTTTATCCATACATAAATCCAGATCTTCTTAAACAAACGGACGGGCGTCCAATACCGTGATGAGCGAATTAATTAATAGTTCATGGTTGTCATGGTAAACATTGGCGGTCGAGAGAGAGGCGGGTGCTCTTGCAGGTTTAAAAAAAAATAAACCTGATCATTAAATAAAAGATGATTAGTCCTCGTGAAGGTTCTGTCCTGTGGGATTGCAAGAGTGATTACCCTTGATCTTGTGTGCGTTTCAATGTAAATGGATAGAAACAACACAACAGCGCTGCACTTTACAACTTTTAAAACTATCACTCACAGCCCATCTGTAAAACTTATTTTGGGGAGTGTTCCCCAGAAGTACTGCAATGCTGGGGCAGTCGATCCCAATTCTACCCTTGCGGGTCTCTTGGCCCTTTCGGGTCTCTTGGCCCTTTCGGGTCTCTTGGCCCTTTCGTGTCTCTTGGCCCTTTCGGGTCTCTTGGCCCTTTCGGGTCTTTTGGCCCTTTCGGGTCTCTTGGCCTTGTGGTTCTCTATCTGTAGCAGTGATCGTCCCGACCCAGGCCAGACACACGAGATATCACGAGCCACCCAGAAAGGTTTGAAAACCTAGACTTAGAGCAACTACAATACAATCAGTAGCGCCACTTGGTGGGTGCGTTGGTGGTATCCCTACTGGTGACACCCTCATATGGGGGATGACATCAAAATGGAAAATGCAAATCAAGCAGAGCTTGCTTGAGTCAATTTCAGAACTCATCGAATTTTGACGCAAAAGCAGGGTTCCTCCCTCTCATGAGCTGGATGCAGCCACAGCAGGTTGCTACTACAGCGTTCCATGCATATGTCCATCAGATTGAGAGTTATTGCTGCTCAGAGAGCTATTGCTGCTCAGAGAGCTATTGCTGCTCAGAGAGCTATTGCTGCTCAGAGAGCTATTGCTGCTCGGAAAAAAATTGTTGCGTGTTAAGCAAAGTTCCCATTAATGCCGCTTGGGGATCACGGTAATTCAGATAATTACAATCGTTGTTGACCTGATCACTGGTGTTTTCTATTTGAAAATAGTTCTCGTGAATGAGATTAATAATGAGTTGTTGGGGGGGGGGGGGGGTAAGAGATTTTAATTGAAATGCAAAGGATGATTTTTTGACGTATTGGGGTGTAAGAGATTTTAATTGAAATGCCAACGATGATTTTTTGACGTATATGTATAAAGATTAACATATGACGTCATCGGGGCATGCTTCAATGTCTCAAAGACTTCTCTTTAAACCTTTAATTGATTTATCACGGAAAAGGGGGGGGGGTCCTTGGCTTTGCCACCCCATATTCATGAAAACTCAAATGCATTTAAAGAATATTTCCGAATACTACCAAGATGACCACTCCTATCAAGTTATAAAAGTGTCTGAGAGACATCATAATTAATATTAGTTAACAAGACCTAAACTTGTATTTAAGTCTTAAAAAAGCCCATCAAGAAAAATTTGATTGATTAAAATTGATTCTGATTTCATTAAATGTTGAAAGAAATTATATGTTTTGGGTAGATTTGTTTGATAATAACTGAGTTTTATATACTATCTAAAATTAATGCAAATTCCTGAAATCTTGCGAATGTAAGCCTCAATTTTTCTGTGTTTTAATTGTTTATTTTAATATTATTCCTAATTTGTTTGTGTATCACTCCATGATTATCTAATAATTGCATAAATGAAACTAAGTAGCCTCAAACTAGTGGAATTAAGAAAATTAAAGGGATGAAAAGCATTTGGTAGCCTACATGAGGTGTGAAGCACACCTCGTTGTGGGAGATGATCACGTTATTCACATGAAAATCAAAATTATATTATTCAGATTTTTTTTTTTAATTGGCATTTTTATAGTCCTGCACAGCTGACCTTTCTAACTATGAGATAGATAGTAAATGACTGGCCTATTATACTAAAATTAGCAAATGCGTAACTGGAATAGGATTGATGCCGATGGGTATTCAAATAAAATGATAAAATGAAATATTTATCTTATAAATTATAAATCTGATCTGAAAATTTGAGAAGGAAAAACATAGGAAATTGAGGAAAGAAAAAAAAACAAAACAAACCTCCGACCAATCTCCCGCGACAAGCTGAGGAGGTAAAAGTTATGGTGAAGCAGGCATTTAAAAAATAACATTATCATACTTTGCAATAGATTATTTATTAGTATTGGCAAATCAAACCATGTGCTAAACTATTTTTAGAAACGGAAGTAAATGAATGATGCCGTTGCTACAGCGATCCACCATTAACACATGAAACCAGGTCACAAGCATGTCAACACAGCTTAGAAAACGTAAAGCTTTGAGTTTGAGATTATACGACACATCCAAACAAAATTATTTAATTAATACTAATAGTATTAGTGCATTAAAACACTATGATTTAAATTCGTTATGTACTATTTTTGAGACTTGGATTTGAAATTTGGTAACAATAACAACTAGCTAAGAATTAAATTAAATATTTAATGATTTAATGACGATAGTATTATTAGTATTAGTAATGAGTAGGCCGTAGCCGTAGCCGTAAGGCCTAGCAGGGTCCCAAAAAAAAAGTGGGGGGGGGTGGCTAAAGTTTTGACACTTGTAAAAAGTTGACTTATATATTATTGTATTTGTAAGTTGTAGACATAGCTGTGTTTTATGTATTATAATAAACAATTAAATAAAATTAGTAACATTTAAAAAAAAAAAAAATTAATTTAAGCAGCTGAGCTGGAAAGCCTACTGATTTTTTACTGGTAGTGGTCAGTGGTAGCTAATGTCAAAATTTGTTTTTAAATCACACATAATCTTACCTTGTTTTTAAGTTGTTGAGAGACACTTATTTGGGAAAGCCCTGGTCGTATGATGCTATCCAGCTCTGATAATCCTTCAACTGTACCCAGTGTAAGACGGCGAGGATTCTTAATATTTTCATTAGATAATCCATTTTTATTCTTAGTCTCCGTTACCTTGGCTTGCCATCGCCCTCGGGTCCCTCCCGCTTGTGTATGCGGTCTCTGCCCCTGGGAAATATGTGGTCCAGCTGTACGGGATGAAGTGGCTGAGGGCCGCAATACATTATCGTAGAGTCCAGTGGTGTAACTTGGATGTGTTTGCAAGTTCGCAGAGGCTGAACTGGGTCGTATTTTTTTCTTTAAAGTTTGTATAGGTGGCAAGGGTGAAAAGGGTGTCAGGTCTCGACCAGAAGGCATCTTATTATTGAAACTCATCTATGGTCTTCTAAACGTAAGACTGTCGAAGTCTGCAAATGTAGACAACGCTGTCAAAAAAAGGCATCGCGGTACTAATCACTAAACATACTTTCGTACACACTACTGAGACGCCATAACCTCCCCTTGTAAACTAACACAGGGCAACCGATTGTCAACTTCCGTCGCTGTTCAAGCCAACCCTCTACGGATTGGATAATTGGGGATCAGGAGTGGGGGCGGTTTGGTAACGGTGGGTACTAAATGGGTCATGTGCTTGTCATAGGCCATAAAGTTAGAGCGTGTAATTCCTTATAAAAAACGGACACTGGTTAAATACAACCACAAGCGCTCTGCCGCTGTGATATGTGTGACGCAAAATACAATCGCAAGAGTAAATTTCCTTTATTTTTGTTCAGTAGATTGTTAAATGAATCGAAACAGAATATTTAAATTAGAAGATAGTCTAAGTTGTTCATTTTTTTATATAAGTCGTATATAGACTATTAGAGAATGCATGTTTATGAATTTCTATAATTATAAGTAATTAGGAACAAGTTTTAATCAGTAAAATAAAATTATTCGGGTAAATAATAGTGTAGCCATCGACTGCAGGGGTGTCTATACCCCCCCCCGGGCAACCATTGGGGCGGGAGGGGGGGGGGCGGAAGTTACCTCGAACTTGATAAATTAGTTATGTGTGTGGGTCATGCCATTCTTGATATAGTTAGAACATTGTTGACTATTCAATAAAAAAAATATTGATAACTGACGATTACTATTTCGATAATAGCTCAATAATTCTTCACATTTTACAGCAAATCGAAATCAAATGATGATTGGGGAGCTGTGTGACTGTGAGGTCACAATATGTGTCATACTAGAGAGTAGAAGTTCACTTTCGAGCCTCAGCCAGACAATGAAAATAATTACTTTTTTTCTCACCTAACAAAAATCCAGGGCCGCCATCATATAAAAAAAAAAAATAAATAAATAATAAATAAATAATAAATTTTAAAAATTTAAAATCGTGTTTTTTATTTTTTCGTTTCTGATACTAATTTTGTTGCATTGACGCACCCAGCTATACACTGACACACCCTGCTATACACTGACAAATTCTGCTATACACCGACATACCCTGCTATACACTGACATGCCCTGCTCTACATTGACACACCCTGATATACACTGCCACTCCCTGCTATACGCTGACTACCCTGCTAAACACCGACACACCCTGCTATACACCGACACAACCTGCTATACACTGACACACCCTGCTATTGTTCATTCAGTGCAGTGCAAAAGGCTTTGATGTCAAAAACTGCTGGTATGGTGAATTCCCCTCTCCCTTCTCCACCTGTCCAGTGTGTCCCATTTGTCCCAGCCACCCCATTCTCCACCCGTCCAGTGTCCCATTTGTCCCAGACACTCCGTTCGTCACCCGTTCAGTGTGTCACATTTGTCCCAGCCACTCCCTTCTCCAACCGCCCAGTGTGTCACATTTGTCCCAGCCACTCCCTTCTCCCCCCGTCCAGTGTGTCACATTTGTCCCAGCCACTCCCTTCTCCACCCGTCCAGTGTGTCACATTTGTTCCAGCCACTCCCTTCTCCACCCGTCCAGAGTGTCACATTTGTCCCAGCCACTCCCTTCTCCACCCGTCCAGAGTGTCCCATTTGTCCCAGCCACGTAGTAGCAGGGCTAGAATTATTTTGATCTTACTTAAGCTTCATGTAGTGCTGTTAAAAGCCATTTCATGCAGTAACGTAACGGTACAACTAGTTGTCGGGGCAGCACGCGACTTCAAGGCCTGTTGTTACAGTGGAAGTCATTTGTTTGCCTTGAAACCCCCACCATTAGCGCCGCGAGCGTCCTGACTACACAGCTGACTAGTCATTAAACGGACGAGTGCCATTCAAGCGGTCGTAGATATACAAGAACTCTCTACCGTGTTATCGCTGCATTCCATTTTATTGTAATCTGTTGCTTCGAATACGGCAGTGTCAAGATTTTAAAAAATGTATTTACAAACTGTAGAATCTTGCCGACAGGAATAATTCAATGTCTGTCAGTAGAGGAGAGAAATGCAATCAATGAAAAAATTGAAAAACAAGACCGTGAAAACAAGAGGCATGTCTTAATCTTAAGCGTCAGTTCACACGATCAAATTTTGCAGTACTCCCCTTGACATCAAAAGCTAGAATGCTACATCTCTGGGGCAATATGGATATTTGCATAAATTTCGCTTGGAAATTAGCGGAGGAATTATTTAAAAAAAAAAAAAAAGAAGATATATTGACTACAGTATCATTTCCAATAATTTGACAAGGAAATACATTAATGTTGACTTGGTAGAGATAAGCCTTACACTTAGGTTAAGTTAGCTTCAGCAAGTTTCAGATGTTAAGGAACTAAAAATCTTCTTTTTCCGTACTCTCCATCCTCATTTTCTCGCCAATGTTTTTTAATTCTCCCGAGGCCCTTATTTTCATATTGATTGGATTTTCCCCACCAAGCACGAGTCATAAATCTGTAAGATTGTTCCAGAGCTCAATCAATTTTTATTGAATGTTGGAATGCGACTGAATTTTTATTCCTGTATGAAAATCCGGTCTGTGGCATTATTAAAATATTGATTTGGGAACACGAACAATGCAAGGGGAAGTCATAATACCCCAGCAGCGTATCAAGGGCCGGTACCTATGAGTGATCGATATTGTGTCGTTCAGTTTCGTAACCCAAAGAATAATTAATAGTTGAAACCTGTTCCATCCTCACCCCTCCCCCTGTTTCCACGACGAAGTAAAAATAAAATGAATGTCTTTTTTTTCTCCCGAAATAGAAAATGGCCCTTCGAAAAAAAATGTTGGGGGGGGGGGAGACTGACAGTGTCTTTTTCTATTTCTCTCCTTTGGGGGGGGGCATATCAAATTTTTGGGTAGCATTGCCAGGTGGCCTAGGGGAAAATGCAAGATTAGCGGGGGCACCAAAATGTGCTTTGGTGATATCTATTGGATGACACTGACGATAATTGGTTCAACGGTTGGGGGAGGGAGGGGGGTGCGTAAAATGAATCCTAGCTCAAACACTCTAGCTACGCCTCTGCCACTGGCGTAGAAAGGGGGAGCGGGTGGGCTGGACGTCACATTATTTTTCTTGACATGGATGGGTGACACTTTCGGACAACGACAGGGTTGGTAGCGTTACATTGTTCGGCACAAATCTTGGACCGCTCATGGCGGCACTATTACTAGCTAAGCCATTTGGCAGTGTATCTATAGGCACCAATACTGGTTAAGCCACAAGGCAGTGTGTCTACGGGCACCAACATTGGCAATTGGCAATCATTATTGTGAGGTAGGGCAGACATCGAGCGCACTGATGAATCTTGGTTGGAAGAGGGGTCAGGGGAGCACCCTCTCCGGGAAATGTTTGATTATTTCAAAATCAAGAGGAGTATTTGGGAGTATACTTAAATTAAATGTCTCTATTAGACTTTTTGATGTGGGTAATGAATTTTTTACGAGTCTATGGGAGGCATTATGGCCCCACAGTGCCATACATCAACTGGCTTCTCTCCGGTTGTGCCGTGGGTAATCATTTGGCCCCGGCTTCTATTCAACACCTTACTGCCACACTGATCACCGCGAGGGGAGGAGGAACCATTGAGGTTGCTGAAGGCTTTCGGGCAGGGGTGCAGTTTTGACATCGGTTAAGGCGCATTTCAGACTTTCGGGTGGGGAGCTCTAGATTTAGCCATAGTAACGCCAATTACATTCGTAAGTTTCGTTTTAAAATTATCATTTTTTTTTTTTAATTTAAAGTTTTTCATTTGATCTAGCTCAACATATATGGAATCGAGTGCATTTAAAATTGTGCTTGTAGCAATAATTTGTAAGCATGATGTAATCATATAATTTATGATGAACACCTATCCCTACTTTAAAAGTCATGTTTTTATGATGAACACCTATTCCTACTTTAAAAGTCATGTTTTTATGATGAACACCTATTCCTACTTTAAAAGTCATGTTTTTATGATGAATGCCTATTCCTACTTTAAAAGTCATGTTTTTATGATGAATGCCTATTCCTACTTTAAAAGTCATGTTTTTATGATGAATGCCTATTCCTACTTTAAAAGTCATGTTTTTATGATGAACGCCTATTCCTACTTTAAAAGTCATGTTTTTATGATGAACGCCTATTCCTACTTTAAAAGTCATGCTTTTATGATGAACACCTATTCCTACTTTAAAAGTCATTTTTTATGATGAACGCCTATTCCTACTTTAAAAGTCATGTTTTTATGATGAACACCTATCCCTACTTTAAAAGTCATGTTTTTTATGATGATATATAATTTGAAAGCACAGTGTACATGTTTTTTACTTGGCAAGAACTATATTAAAATTCTAGACTGTTCTATTGATGTAAATGTCTTTTGAATACAATCTTATTAAAATCTTTAAATGTTTGAAGTTGCAAGAAAAAATAAAATAAATGAAAATACCGATCTATGCCACCAACAGAAGTAAGACTTTGGCTTTTAATTAGGAGTGGACAATTTTGGAACAGAACAGTATTTATAGTCGAATATTGTAAGCCTCTAAAAAGTTTAGCCCTAAATAGACGCATTTGAAACATAGCAAAGACCATCAATATAGATGGAGCATAGCAGGGGCGTAGCTAGGGTGTTTGGCCCCCGTGGACAAGATTCATATTAAAGAGCGCCCCCCCCCCTTTGTTCATTTTTAAACTCTCAAACCCATTATTTTCATAAATAAAATAATATCAAAGCACATTTTGGCACCGCTTACTAGTCTGGCGCCCAGGGACATTTGTCCCCCCCTACCCCCTCTTAACTACGCCTGTGGAGCGTAGGGATATTTCATACGTTCCAGTAATTGTAATCGGTTAAAGACACCAGTTACTATTCTTTTTAAAATTTATAAAAATTAAAATTTAGTCGTTTCTTAATAAAACTATGTTTTTTTTTACATTTTATTTTTTGTACATATTTTTCTCCTGGGGTGGGGAACACTTGACTTGCTCCGAGGCTGGGGGGTACTGCCTTCCCCCTCCCCCTCACCAGGAGGGTTGAGTAAAAGAAACACTGCAGACTTAGACGCCAGAAACACATCTAAAAATAGTTTGTAATTCGGAAACTTCTAAATAGATGAGTCTACGCTATTTTTGTTTTAATGTTTGAAGCCCCGTCACATGGGATACAGCACAAGCCTTCTTTGTGCTTTGCTTAATTAGGCACCATTTAGCGTAGATCAGTTTTGAAATTAAAATCGAATTCTATATGCAGTTGTAAATTCTAACAAAGGAGCATTGAGCAGCGTAGATTGAAATCTTGACGCCTTCCTTCATGTCCTGTTTTATAATATAAAATAACTAGGCGAGAGTGCCGAATAAAATGCTGAAGAGTTGAATAGAAGTCCGCCAGGGGATCACGATCTGGATTTTAGAAGGGATTTCCTTCCTTATTCTGCGTGGCTTTCCACACATGCCTTCAAACTTGTTAGACTTAATAGAGACCACCTGATCAGCTCGACGTGATCTCAAGTTTTTAGAACTGCTTCAGACCACCTGGGCAGTTCGACGTGATCTAAAATTGATATGACTGCTTCAGGCCAGCTGGGCAGTTTGACGTGATCTAAAGTTGATATGACTGCTTCAGACCACCTGGGCAGTTTGACGTGATCTAAAGTTGATAGAACTGCTTCAGACCACCAGGGCAGTTCGACGTGATCTAAAGTTGATATGACTGCTTCAGACCACCTGGGCAGTTCAACGTGATCTTCTTCAGAAACAAAACTAACACAATGTAAAGAGTGTTTTTTCAAAAATTTAAATTTTGAGAATAACTTACAGTTATCTTTTTACAGGATATTTATTTTCAATGTGTCATAAGAAAAATGATGGAACTGAACGTAACATTTGATTGGTTGAAATGTATTACAAAGAAAGGCATTGTCTTTAGAATTTCACCTCATTAGGTTATCTGGAACATACGAAACTAGCCCTCATAGATTTGAAACATAATAAAAACATGGCCACAAGTTTAGTCGAAACATGGCCAACAAGTTCAGTTAAAACATGGCCAACAAATTCAGTTAAAAACATGTCCAACAAGTTCATTTAAAACATGCCCTACAAATTCAGTTAAAACATGGCTAAAAAGTTTAGTAAAAACATGGCCAACAAATTCAGTTAAAACATGGCTAAAAAGTTTAGTAAAAACATGGCCAACAAATTCAGTTAAAACATGGCTAAAAAGTTTAGTAAAAACATGGCCAACAAATTCAGTTAAAACATGGCTAAAAAGTTTAGTAAAAACATGGCCAACAAATTCAGTTAAAACATGGCTAAGAAGTTTAGTAAAAACATGGCCAACAAGCTCATTTAAAACATGACAAAACAAAGTTTTTCATTTAACCCTTTATATTATAAGCATTTCGTCTTATTTTTGTGTTGTATTAATATTCTAATGTCCCACCCACTTTTAAACAGTAGATTTATTTCACCAAAGATGACAGAAAAAGAAAAGAAGAAAATATTACGCACCAAACGCACTGGCGATATTTTTGTAAAAAAGAATCTCATTTAGCGCAACTATCGGGAATTTTATTTCTTGAAATCAGTCACCAAATTTCCTTCATCTTCAACTTGGAAAAACAGAAGAAAAAAAATGATTTTTTTCGGGTTCGGCTGAAAATTTGAAAGAAAATGTTGTCATCGCCAGCGAGTCTATGGGCCAAGTTTCTGCTCGATAGGTTGACGGGAAGTGAGTCAGTTAGCCGTCCGAAATTTTTTGCCACACACCCAGTCAGAAAGAAAGAAAACAAAACGAACAAAAGCGAAGTTAATATAAAGGATTTTAAAAAGTCCTCGCCCTTTTGACAATATCTTGTAATCTGTTGAAATGTACGCGATGGGAAAATATATAAGTAGGTTAAAGAAAACTTTATCATAATTATGTCATGGATAAATGATAATTAAAATTAATGCAATGTAAGGGCTAATAAATCATGAATGTGTGGACCAACGAAGGAGCATCCCTGTTCAAACACTCGACGAAGTGTGTTCTGGGTAAACTTTTCACATAATCTGTTGAATAAACTCAACACTAAACAAAGCTCGTTTGTAGAATATGGACTGACACGGCACTCAATAGAGTCAATATTGAAACAACCAAGCATTTAGAACTTGGTCCTATATCTCAACAACTGTTTCCGCTCGTGGTTGGACCACGGAATCCAATATTTATATTGACATTTATAATTATCATTTGCTCTGAGATAATTTGAAATTAATAAGAACAATATGACACTGACGTCCATATAATAGTCTAAAAAAAATTATAATTCTAACGAGGTGAAGAGACTTCACTTTAAAAAAAAAAAATCAAGAATTTTCAAACCATGAATTAAAAGTTTTGACATTTGACGTAAGAACTTGTTAAAAAAAAGTATATAATTCCAAGAAAATTTGGTAGGCTTGTTTTTTTTAAATTTTATTTAAAAAATACAATACAAGAAAGCTCAAATCAAACAAATGAACAATTAAATACATTGCTAGAATTATGTTCAAACTGATGGCTGCCAACGAAAAGAGATGAAGAGAGCGCCAAAAATGACTACCAGTTTCAAATAAGAGAACGCCAATAAGGACCACTCGTTTCATTGTTGAAGATTAGTGAAAACAGCTGAGTCTAAAGGTAATAATAAAACTGATCGATGATTGAACAGCAGACTATGCTCACCCTTGAAATGTCCTACAGTCCCCTCCAACAAACGAACAGCCCGGGGGACCTGGCGGGATTTCGGGGGGACCGCACAGCGTGGATGATGGTGCTGATCAACAACATCGTCATCTGCAACGTCCTGTCGGTGTTCGGCACAGCCGCCAACGCCATCAACATGGCCGTGCTCTACAAGCAGGGACTGGACACCTCGATAAACATCAGCTTCTTCGGGATGGCGCTGTCCGACACGTGCAGCCTGCTGACCCTCCTGTGGTACAACGTCTGCTTCAACCCCTTGTTGAGCGACTCGGGGCTGCCGCTTGACCCCATCGAGTTCCAGCATCTGACCGGATGCTACCCGCACGACTGTTTCTCGAGGATCACGGGAATGATCATCATGTACGTCACCGCGGAGCGCTGTCTGTGCATCATGGCGCCACTGAGGGTTAAATTAATCATCACGCCGCGGAGAGCTACCATGATCGTCTGCTTCCTATATCTGTTGATGTTTGCTCTCCTCATCCCTGAATATTACTCCTACTACCTTGACTGGAAGTTTTTCCCCGCAAGAAATAAAACCCTCATCGGGTTGGTGACCAGACCGCACGCTATTCTTCTCGAAAGCCTGACCGATATCATGTATGCCGTCTGTCTTATCACGTCATTCATCTCCGTCGTTATCCTGACAATCATCCTGGTTAAAAAACTGCAGCAGAAAGAAATGTGGCGCATGGCGTCGACCGCAGACAAGCATCAGTCGGACAGAATGTCAACCCGCAACCGTAAAACCATTCACATGGTGGTGCAGATCGCCGCCATGCTCATCGTCTGCTACACCCCTGTGGTCGTCGTCTACGTCTGGACGTTCTTGGAACCAGAGTTCACCACCAGTGGCCTGTACGCCAACCTCTACTTCGCCGCCTGCTCTGTGGCTCAGGTCTTCGAGGCTATCAATTCTAGCTTCCACATCGTGTTGTACTACGTCATGAGTTCAAACTACAGGTGCACGTTGCACCAAATTTTGCCATTTAAATTTGGCAGTCAGAGAAAGAAAGATGGCGGCAGTCAGAGAAAGAAAGATGGCGACAACCAGAGAAAGAAAGATGGCGGAAATCAGAGCAAAAAAGATGGTGTTGACTTTGAAAATGTATATCAGCGTTTTCATGGTTAAAACTGGATTTTTTAGAAATTGAAATCTAAAAAAAAAAAATGTTAAAACCAACCCTAGATTGGCTTTCAAAGATTTATACGATGGCTCTATGCAGTCTGACGTCTGGTGACTTGTTGACATTTTTTGGTGCTGGATAGTTGCATGTACTATTTAGAGGTTCACATTTGTAATTGGAGATGTTTTTTTTTTTGTTGTTGTTGTTTTTTTAAAGATTAAATCATAGTCACATTAGAGTAAATATTAAAAAGATCCGAAATGATGATGTGGAGAGTTTGAGAAAAAACCTTGACCTGATGGTGTGGAGAGTTTGAACATTAACATTGAAATAATGTTGTGGAAAGTTTGAGAGAAGCATAAAGGTTTTCTTCCACTCTTTTCTGGTGAGCGCTCCAGGGGCATCAAGAACGTTATTTTTAGTTTTATTTTCACGTCCATTTTGTTTCTGTTCGCTGGAGCAACCCATTTGCTGACACGTCCGTTGGTCTGATTTGCTTTGCTTCAGACGTTCTGCTTCATTGCTCTACTTGAGCTCAGCACCCCCCCTCTCCCCACCCACCTCTCTTTACTATCATATAGGACTTCGGCCATCGGTAAGCCTACTGTGTGAACCCGAGTCTTGCAGGGTTTTACGAGAGGGGGGGGGGATTTCGGGCCTACCGTGGCGTACTCACCCTTCACATCCCTTCTGTGTCATGCGTAGAGAGCAACTAATTTTCGGTTTACCATTTTGGTTGTATTTGATGTGTAGCAGGAGTTTATGTTGAATGTGTAGCTAGAGGTTATGTTGAACGTGTAGCTAGAGGTTATGTTGAATGTGGTGGCAGGAGGCGGCACAGGTCACAGAACACATTGCGCTAAACCATCAACCAACGATGAAGTCAGACATGAGAATCGAGGATTAGGACGACTCAATTTTAAGATTTCGTAAGCGCAGCCCTTAAAAATTCAAACACTGCTTGAAGGTTGGCTTTTGACATGGACACAGGACACGCGATCCGTCTGTAGTGTTGTTGTAAGTCTGTAGCCAAACACGCCAAGTCGTCATTAGATATTCGATTGTTTCGTTACTTAACAGTCACCGTTCTCTGCTTTCACTTTTAGCACACCCACACGTTTTAAAATGGTAATATTAAAAAAAACTGTATAAACAAACAACAATGGCAACGGAGTTATAATTATTAGTTTAAGTGTAACAAATGATGGACTCGTTCGAGCTATGCGAAGGAATTTTAAATAGTAGAATAAGTTGGTGTGGAAGCCTGAATAGAAAGACGGGACAATCAAAGAGTCAGCAGACACGACCAAACGACAAGAAATTTTTTTAAAAACAGAAATTAGATTAAAAAACGTTAGTGTTGGCCATTGTTATTTTAGGAAGTTGTGTTTTGCAAAACCAAGATTACAAGAAGTAAAAAAAGTTATGAATTATTACTGTGGAAAAAAAAAACACAGATTTTAACTGACAAAATTATTTTAGAGATCTGCAAGATGTAACAAATAAGAAAAGGAAAGCTCTTCTTCTTTTATCGTCCTCTCTTTCTATTCAAAGATCTATAAACTTTGTTCTGCTATTTGGTATAATTAGGCTTACCATAATTTTAAGTGTTGAAATCAGGGTCTATGGATATGGGAATAGGTATAACATGACCAAGTCTGAAACCAGGCCACATCTTATGTGGTGGGTACGCCACTGGGTCTGACACCAGGCCACATCTTATGTGGTGGGTACGCCACTGGGTCTGACACCAGGCCACATCATATGTGGTGGGTACGCCACTGGGTCTGACACCAGGCCACATCATATGTGGTGGGTACGCCACTGGGTCTGACACCAGGCCACATCATATGTGGTGGGCATTTGTAACGGACTATGTTTTCACATGAAAACAGAGAGGTAGCATGAGTGAACAGTGAATTGTGTTGACCATGTATTTTGAGATGCAAATGTGAACTCCACGTTTTTGGAGAGTAAAATTATGTTTTTGTTATTGTGTTGACCATGTATTTTGAGATGCAAATGTGAACTCCACGTTTTTGGAGAGTAAAATTATGTTTTTGTCAGAGCGGTTGTTTTCCACGCTTTGCTGATAATAAAGTATGAGTTGACTGAGATAAGGAGTCACAGTTAGTCGGAGTTGAGTTAGAGTTGAGATGTAGTACAGTGAGAGCTGTGTGATTAGACAGTTGAGCTGAGTTGACAGTAGTGTGAGGACGTATCTTTCTTAATGATGGAATACTATAGATATATATGTGAAATTACATTCATGCAAGGATTATTTATTAATATTATCAATATAAAGTGTGTTCAATAAAGTACTGTAAGTTTAACCAGGATTCAGTATTCTTATTTGCGTGACCGGATTATAAGTGGAAGAATGAAGAAGCCTTAGTCGGCATCCTGAAATATCAACATAAGTAACCATACTACTGACATAACCCACAGCATAAGAAATAAGATCCCACGCCATGTCAGAGTAGGTGTGTTACAGTATTTTGGGGGAGAAAGACTATTCATATTTCTCGATAAAATCTACTTTCTCAGAAATCTCTTTATCTTTTCAGAATCCCTCCAATAGCTTAAAATGGGAAATTTGTGATTTTCTTGAGCAGATTTCTGACAGCATATTTTAAATTCTAGCATATCATTTCAGTCTTCTCAACTGAAGGGGTGGGGTGGGGGGGGCCGACTGCAAGTGGAACATTGGCTTCATGTTCAAATTGGACACAAGCATGTAGCCTACTTTGATACCAACAAAGCATTTAGCCTACTTTGATACCAACCAAGCATATAACCTACTTTTAAACTAACCTAGCATGTAGCCTACTTTGATACCAACCAAGTTCTCAAATGCTCTGATTCCAATTAGGCTAAGCTCTGATTCCAATTAGGCTAAGCTCTGATATTAACAATGTACAAGGATGTCTCACACAGACACAAGGCTGTATCACACAGACACAAGGCTGTCTCACACAGACACAAGGCTGTCTCACACAGACGCAAGGCTGTCTCACACAGACACAAGGCTGTCTCACACAGACACAAGGCTGTCTCACACAGACACAAGGCTGTCTCACACAGACACGAGGCTGTCTCACACAGACACAAGGCTGTCTCACACAGACATGAGGCTGTCTTACACAGACACGAGGCTGTCTTACACAGACACGAGGCTTTCTCACACAGACAAGACAAATTAGTCTCTACCTAACTCGTCAAAATAAGATTGAAACCCGGACAAGATTCGAAACCAACCGGGACAAGGTTGCTAAACAGGGACAAGGTTTTAAAACCGGGACAATGTTGCTAAACCGGGACAAGGTTGCTAAACCGGGACAAGGTTGCTAAACCGGGACAAGGTTGCTAAACCGGGACAAGGTTGCTAAACTGGGACAATCATCGTCAAACCGCAACTTCTGGTAATATTATGTATAACTGACTAACCTTATTTTCCTTACCCCAATATAGCATTTTATCCGAAGGGTTATTCTCAATATATATATATAACCGATATATATATAACCGTTCCAACCATCTTGGGAAGAAAAAAAAAGACGCCTGAAATTCATATCAACATCCTGATGCCCTCCCCTTGATTGGAATCCACTCTTAGGGTTCAGATTACCTCAAATCAGACATTTATCACAGTGGCAAAAAACTAACTACTTAATGTAAATGGATTGACAGAATAACTAGAAAGATGACAGGAATTTCAGTGTATCTAGGGAATAATTTTATTCTAACATTTGCTTCATGTTTAACTGGTCTCAGCTCATCTAGCCTCTAGCAAAACAACATAAAAGAAATATAATGTGCTTTACTACTATTTTTTTCAAAAGATTCATTAGCAATAATTCCTAGTTAATTACATATTTTTTCAAAAACATTAAAGAAAGTTTAAAACTATAAATAGATAACAATATTTGCAAACAAGAATTGTGATTTATGTAACTGCCATAGTAGTTGGCTAAAAAGTTGAAGAAGATGTAGGTTCCTTTTACAGTTTTCTGAATTTGGCTCTTCAGTTCAGAAAATAATTAAAATATTCAAATTTGCACTGTTAAATTTGTCATAGTACTCATAGAAGTAAGCATAAAATTTTTTGCTAAATTAATAAAAATACAAAAAATGATAAGATAGCGATTTTTTCTTGAAAAATTAAAAAGATAATCACATAATCATATTCATGTAGGGATTTAAGCCTCATATTATTTAAAAGACAAAAATATTTTACATTAGAAAGAAAAAAACATTAATTATTACACTTAGTACATTAACAGTTTGAATATCACAGAACAGCACAAATAATATTTCAAGATCATTTCTTAAAATCACAGGGCATGTAATGGCCAGTCCTTTCTTGTGGAGGACAATAAATGGCCCGTCCTTTTGGTGAAGAGCTTCCAAAGTTTGACTGAGTTTGACATAATCCAATCAGGCAGACAGGGATTCTTTATATAAATGGATTGTTTGTCAAGTTGCTATCCCAGAAGGCTTTATGCTATCACAGAAGGCTATCCCAGACAGTGATCTCAGAAGGCCCACTTGTGGCACTTATAACATATTCGCCATTTTGTCCCTTTTTTTGTTATTGACTCTGCCCCAAGACATCACTTGGGTAACTATATACATGATATTTCAACACATCAAAAAAAAAGTTTTGGCATTGATGTCATGATGTGATCAGCAAACATTAACACTTTTATACATGTCCTTTTATTCAGACCTATGGTAACATGGCAATATCAGTGGTTACAGCAAAGCCACTTGAAAAAAATCAAAACCTTGATTTTGTTCTATTTATAAATATGTATCTATCTTTATACAAAAAATATTTGAAAAAAAACTATGGACTAACAATGTATTGATACATTTACATTGGCATTTGGTTTTTATATGTTTAAATCTGCAGAATATTCCAATATTTCAAGTCTCCAGGGAAGTAGACAGTAAAACTTAAACAAATATTCCACGTAATGAGTTCAGGGTGTGAAACTAATGAACATGACCTTTTATAAATATTATTATATCAGTTTATCAAAGGTATTTTATCATTTACAATTTATATCATATTGACACCATTGTCTTGAGAGCATTTCAATAACATGGTGTCAAGGGTCAATCTTCCTCAATAGCTATGTAACTGTTGTAATAGCCGTAACAATTGTGGTGTTCTACTGTTGATCATTTAAACAATTTAAGCTCCAAGCTTAAATTAAGTTATTTTTAAGTTTTGCCTCAAATAAATAATAAATAAATACATTTCAATATGTAGACAAATGACAATATATAAAATTGAAAAATGAGTTCTTGTGTAATACACAAACATTTTTATAAAACAGAAGCTAAAAGAATTTTATAAGAAAGAATTATTGCAAAAAATTACCAATGTACTAACATAAGTTAAATAGAGTTCATTCGTGTCTTTCAAAATAATGACAAGTAATTGATAAAGACCATCTTTAATTTATAAATTCAAGAAACCAAATCTTCTTGATTACATAAAAAATAAACAACATTTCACCTAACATCAGAAGTGAGTCAACTGACCTCCGCTGAAAATTTTATTTAATGGTAAACCCAAACTGATGTGTACACAGAAAGCTGTGACAAGGCAAGCAGTTTTTAACTCAGTATTTCTTCATATTATTTTTATTCTTGTAATAGTTCATGGCATCTTCATAATAGACTTGACTCAGATAGTACCAAGGACCCTCTTCGATGTCATCACGTCTGTAGGATTATAATAAAATATCTGTAAAATGTTATCTGCCACCTTGCCAGATTTTTGTAGATAAATAAAAGTTCCGAAATAACTATTATCACATTTTGTTTTGATGAAATTACTTAATCCATAATTAGCAGGCAAAAATTAATGATGTTTGTAAATAAGACGTAAATGCCCAATTACAACATGGGACTTACTCATAAGTTAAATTTTACCATATTGTGGACAAAAGAGTAATCGTTACTATATTTTGGATTACACAACATTTAAGCTGCACATGACTGCAGTAGAAAAATAATATTGTAACTTATTTTCCAGATACTTACACTTCCTCATTGCAAAATTTAACCACCAGTTTCCCATCTTTGTAATCATTAAGAACCCCTGGCAAATATTTGACTTGATGCGGATCAACACAAGCGAGGATTTTGTCCCCTCGGCTCAGCTTTGGTTGTCGGGTGAAAGCACCAAATATATGTATGACACTTTGATGTGAAGAGCTTCCATTGGCCCATTCAATGGAGTACATTTGACTGTTGATCTTCTTCCTTACAGTTCCTATGGAAAAAACGTGAAATTATTCATGTTGAACATCACTAATTTTTCTTAAAAATCATCATATTTTTCTAAACACTGTCAAAATTACCACCAATCAAAAAGCTTGCTTGATACCACCTGAGTGGTTGCTGTAAGTGGGAAGTTTCAATAATTCAACAAAGTATATTTTTGTATTTGCTACCACTTGAATGTGAGGGTTCCCTGCAGGTTCTCTCCCCTGGCAGCAGTCCTGTAATTTCTGACCCCTTCAAACCAACATTTTTCTCATAAACTTATTATGTAAAGAACAACAAATGTGACATAAATGTAGCCTAGAAATGTCCCCCCCCCTCCCACACAGCTGTCTTACAATTTTAGTATCTGTATAGGCACATATGGAACAGGGTGCAAACATGTTACAAAATAAAACACCAACATTATTTGTGTACTTACTGAATTTTCTCAACTATTAAATTATAAATATTTTAAAAAATGATTGTCAGGTGTTGCTTCCCTTAAGGAGATAAAATATTTCTGGTGTGGCTAAACACTACTGGTGCACAGTTACAGTTCTATAGCTAGAGTTCTATAGCTAGAGTTCTATAGCTAGAGTTCTATAGCTAGAGTTCTATAGCTAGAGTTCTATAGCTAGAGTTCTATAGCTAGAGTTCTATAGCTAGAGTTCTATAGCTAGAGTTCTATAGCTAGAGTTCTATAGCTAGAGTTCTATAGCTAGAGTTCTATAGCTAGAGTTCTATAGCTAGAGTTCTATAGCTAGAGTTCTATAGCTAGAGTTCTATAGCTAGAGTTCTATAGCTAGAGTTCTATAGCTTGAGTTCTATAGATAGAGCCTGCACTTTATTTCTGGTGCAATCAACAACCCCAATCAACTCTAAAGAAAAAACATGTTTGTTGAAGATGGGAGAGGCAGGGGGAGGGTAAAGTCATCCTCATTTGCAACTATTCAAAACAGTTTCAAATTATTTATGTCCCTGGGAACGGGCTCTAGAAGTTTCCTAATTGCTTACCATGGTCACATGCATAATGAGTTTTACATCATGAACATGTTATCAAATTCATAAGTGTATATTGATATTAGTGATCAAATAATAAATGTCTTTATTCGCATTAAAATTTAGTTTACTTTTGAGACAAAATTAACAATCATAAAAAATGAATTTACCATGATGTTTATAAAAATGTTTTTTACTTTACTGATCTAAGGAGGTTTTCGGATATCAAAATTAAAACATTTCTGTTTTGTATTATAAAACAAGAAGAAAAAACTCACCTGGGAAATAGGCGCCTGTCTTGTCATCCCTTGCAATGACAGCTGATCCAATCCACTCCTTCTCCTTCTTCTCTATGAACTCCACATCAAGCTTGTACTTCCTGGTGCTGATGTGGTACACCTTGCCTTCTTGAAGGGATAGCTCCGCTGTTTGACCATCGTAAAATCTGACTTCCACAAACTCATCATGTTTCAACTCACTGATGACCCCTGGGGCGTAGCTGAAGCTGTACTTCGGGTGCAAGGCCACTACTGTGTCACCTTCCTGTGGAGTGTTCATTGTTGAAATGACAAGCTTTGTGATGTGTCATTAAATTAATTTAAAACAAACAACTCTAAATTAATGTTTACAATATTAGTTTTACATTTTGGCTAGCCTTTGACATTTCTCATTATCTTCTTCTCACACTGACGCCTGGACTTGAAAATAAAATATTATTTATTTATGTCCATGTAACCGTAACATCATGAAATTTAGTGGTTGTTTACCATAGTGTAAAACTCACCCAGAAATATGTGGCGGATGAATACTGATGATGAATTATAAAAGGGGAGACTATATCGTCAGCTATATTAACCAGCATGTAAAATTGGGGAGTGATCTTAGAATGTTTAAAGAAGTAGGGCATATGAATCTATTGTCTGCAGACACTTTTATAATTTGAATAACATAATCATATTCTTTACTCAGTAGATTATTACAGATATCTATTTCAAACTGATTCTGTGGACAGCAGTTGTATTATACATTTGTGAAGTTATTGAAACATTCTGTGGACAGCAGTTGTATTATACATTTGTGAAGTTATTGAAACATTCTGTGGACAGCAGTTGTATTATACATTTGTGAAGTTATTGAAACAACAGAATTCAATAGAATACATTTCATTTTGACCTATAACTATAATATTAACATTAATCTTTATAAAATATAATTCTATTTCCAACAAGAAGCCATTATTTATTTGACAAAAGGTATACTTTTTAAAAAATTAGATATCCCCTTGAAAATCCAGTTTGTTCATCAGAAAGGAAATGATCATTAAAATTTAAAACAATACTCATGTGATTTTCAATCTATTTATGACACAGTAAAACTAATAATGTCACTAAAAGTCAGAGACACATCTTTCAAATACCAATATTATTTTTAAAAATTCCCCTTTGGAGTGTCAAAGCCTATTATTATTAAATTCTAATCTAATCCAATAATTATTATAGGATCTATCTGACTAAGTATGGAGTAAAATGCCCACAGAAAAATAACTTGTGCACATTTACCCCCTTCCCCTTTTTATACATCTAGCAACACACAAGTTTGAACCAGCTATAGCACACTATCAGGAATTCTAATATGCACATCTGTTATTAAGTGTTATCTTACTTTAAAATCTTTGTTATAATCATCCTCATCGGAGATGATGTCTTCCCTCCAGATCCTCTCAACTAGTCCTGTGCTGTCTTTCATATCATAGCTTTGATCTGAATAGCAACGAATGATGTGACCTGTTGACACAAGTAACCGTTAAGTTGATTCTCACACATCATTGAGATAGAAAAATAGTATCTTTAATGATGAACATGGATCCAGCTTTAACAAAAGCCAGTTTTAAAGTATTTCTAGATTTCAAAAATAAATTCCTGTCTTTAAAATCTCAAGATTAAAAAAAAAACACTTGTTTTAAAAAAATTAATAATTTATTCAACAATAAATTACTCTAAAAAAAAAGATTTAAAAGATATAATTTTGTTTTTTAAATATTATAGTATCACTTGTGGAAAGAGTAAAGCAAATTACAGAAGAAACTATATTGAGAAGTGGAATGGGAATTATATAAGGAAAACAGAAGTAGGAATTGGACACTTTAAAAAAAAAAGATCTTTTAATCGTAAGCATAATAATGAGATTGTGACCAGATATCTTATTTTATGAGATATTTTCATAGTATGCCAAGTTTTGGACGAAATTCAACAAACATATTCATTAGTGACCTAATGATAACTTTATGAGCCCATCAGAATCCATTAACATTATTGCCCACCTGAACCTATATGTCAGGTAGTAAAAATTTCCTAATATTACATTTACTGGTTGATTTTTAGAAAGTTGCATCAATTTATGATGCACACCAAATTTTTTTTTTCAGCTATTTTAAAACAATGATCTCCCTTTTCTGATGTTCATTATTTGAATATTACCATGGAGACTGATGTGACATCTTATTAAAAATAATAATATTTTTGTTTAAGGATTTGACTGAAGCGTTCAAAAGTAAATTGTAGTTTAACAAAGTGTAGTGCTTCTAAAATTCTTACAGTTTCATAACTTGATGGAGATTTATGGAGATTAGGTCCTCTATCATCATCCACTAGTATTTCTAGGATTGTTGCTTTCAACTTTCTCATTGCATACTTTCAACCATTTCTACAAATGTCATTACTGCCTGCATGTAATTAAACCAATGCTTTTCTTAATGACCATTTCAACTCAACACTAGTTCAGATGTTTATGCTATGGCCTCCCTAGTTCAGATGTTTAAGCTATGGCCTCCCTAGTTCAGATGTTTAAGCTATGGCCTCCCTAGTTCAGATGTTTAAGCTATGGCCTCCCTAGTTCAGATGTTTATGCTATGTAGCCTCCCTAGTTCAGATGTTTATGCTATATGGCCTCCCTAGTTCAGATGTTTATGCTATATGGCCTCCCTAGTTCAGATGTTTATGCTATGTGGCCTCCCTAGTTCAGATGTTTAAGCTAAGGTCTCCCTAGTTCAGATGTTTAGGCTATGGCCTCCCTGATCTCCAATGTAACACAACCATGCAGAAATGACAATGCAGTTCCCTTCTACCATCATAGCCTGACTGAACAATGATAAGTATGACCAACTTGTGCTGTTGCACCATGCTGTCTCCATCTACACCACATCGAAAACAAAAACACACAATTTTTATGTAAAGTAATAGTTAAACAAAGCTTAGACCATATAGTTTTATTTACTTTATCGCGGTGTTATGAGTCATTGAAACCTTTCTTTTTCAAACTGCCGAAAGTCAAATCAATATTTGAAATTCTTGTCTTTAGAAAATTGCTGAATTATCTGAGATAGCCAGATGAACAAATGATGTCAATTTTTAAAAAAAAAATTATCCAAGGCTAAAATCTTTAATTTCCTTGTCAGTCCGATTCAGTTTTAGCAATGCAATGCCAATAACACCAGCTAATCTTTCAAATATCTTTAAACTAATTCAATAGGAAAAAAAACTTTCTTTGTGTGGGAGTTGGGGGGGGGGGGGTTGGGGGGGGGTGGGGGGGGGGGGGGGTTGGGGGGGTGGATTCCCTAATAAATTGTTCGTCATTTAGGTAGGGTGGGTGGTAATACAAATGTGACAAATTATTCAATAAAATTAAATTTGAGTAATATTATTCATAGAAATAGAAGCAGTATTTTACAATAATAATAAAATAAATAATCAAAATTCAATCCCCGTGGCTAAACTTAAGCATCAGATTCAGATGGAGACGTAAGAAAAGTAATTTAGTTATCATAATCTTAACAAAAGTAACAAAGACAATTGAGATCAAACTCATCTAGAGACCTACCTCATTATTTACCACAACAAAAATTAATTGTAAAAAAAAAAATAAGAAACGAAAAAAATAAAAACAACCTTGAAAATTAGATAATTTAGTAAATAAAATAACCATTTGTAGGTATTCAATTTCACTTTATTGGATTTATATTTGTGTAATTTTAGTAGATCAAACTGTCTGGAGTGATACATACACATTTCTTCCCAAAATTAACATAATGAATGAGTTATCGGTCAAAGTTGATTAGAAAAATCTGAATCTCCGTTGAGAATCAAAATTTCTGATGACAAAAGTCAGTAGTAAGTTAAGGATAATGGGATGACAAAGGTCAATAGTGATTTAAGGATAATGGGGAAAACATGTGACAGCCACTAAGAAACACAAAGCTGGGAAGAAAGATAATTAGCTGGTAGACTGTGTGATGAGGTAATGATTACTCCCGCGGGCTTTGATACAATAATCGCTATAAACATTTAGGTGACGCAGCTCAAAACAAGGGAGATAACTGAAGCAAGGGGCATAATTGAGCCACCAGAACAGGCGTACGAGGCCAATTTTTAAGTCGTAAAGATTGGCTTAACTTGGGGGGGGGGGGGGGGNGGGGGGGGGGGGGGGGGTGGGGTTCACACTTAATTGGTTGCTGGATTCACCCAGAGATTTCCGAACTGTTGAAGTGTATCAAAGTGTAGTGAGCTAATTTTGTTGGCTCAAAACAGTATCTCGTAATAAAGATTTTTATTCAAAGGGTTAGTGGGGGAAAAGGATATTAAACTGGTTCTCTGAGAAAGACAAGATATCTAAACATGATTTCAGAGGTGAGCACCAAAACAGTTTCCCCCAACGATGACTTTCAAGCCATCAAACTTCTGGACGCCATATTCGGCACTGACGTCACCTGGATAGTGGTGGTGGTGAACAATCTGGTCATATGCAACGTCCTGTCCGTGTTCGGCACGGTGGTCAACATCATCAACATGACGATCTTCTACAAGCAAGGCCTGGACAACTCCATCAACATCAGCCTGTTCGGTATAGCCATCTCGGACATCCTCAGCCTCATCACCCAGCTGTGGTACAACGTGTGCATGAACCCGCTCTTCTACAAGGTCAATTTGTCGATCGATCCGGCGGACATCCAGCACCTGACCGCCTGCTACCCGCACGACTGCTTTGCCCGCATCACCTGCCTGATCACGCTGTACATTACGGTGGAACGGTGCCTCTGCATCGTCACACCCCTCAAGGTCAAGCAGATCCTCACCCCGAGAAGGACCGTCATCATAATCTGTTTATGTTTTCTGCTGATGATAAGCCTCTTGGTTCCAGAGTATTCCTATTTATACATCGATTGGAAATTTTTCCCCGAGGTCAATCGCACCCTGTTGGGGTTGGTCCCCAGGAGGCAGTACTCCCACATGATGGGCCTGACCGCCATTCTGTACGCTACGTTTTTAATTGGAACTTTCATCGCCGAGATCATCTTGACGGCCATACTGATTTTTAAACTTCAGTCCAAAGAACAATGGCGCATGGAGGCCACGTCTGACCAAGGACAGAAGGAGAACATGTCGGCGCGGAACAAGAAGACCATCACGATGGTCACGCTGATCGCCGCGGTCATCATCGTCTGCTCCACTCCGATCGTCGCCGTGTACATCTGGATGTTCCTGGACTCGGAGTTCACCTACACGGGCAGGAATGCCAAAATTTACTACGTCATGGTGTCGCTGGCGCAAGTCTTTGAGGTGCTCAACGCGAGCGTCAACATCTTCATGTACTACACGATGAGCAGCAAATACCGGGAGACGTTTGCGGAAATCTTCGGAGGCTGCACCAAAAAGTCGGCAATCACCAGTTAGACCTTGGGCGTGCGTTATGGCCTAGTTTCACTAGTTTCTGTTAAGACTCATAATCCGTGTTTCATCAATTCGATTTTTTATATGTATTAATGTTGTGATGTGATCGACAGATAACAAATCAATCAGCCAGGGAAACGATTGCTCAGTAAATATATAGTGTGCAATCTAAAAATATGAAAATAATGTCAGGCATTTTAGATGTTACCAACTGAGGCGTGGTCTTAAATGAAAACTAAGACAAAATATATGCGCAAGAAAAGAACTGAACGATATAGGCGCCATTGAAGAATAGGTCATCATAAGGGGGCGGGAGGGTGACAAATCAATAATTGGCAAAAGGTTAACGTGTCCCAGACGAACAATTTAAACATCAAATAAAAAAAAGGTTGTTTTTGTTGTTGTTTCACTAACAAGTACCATCATGTTCTTTAGGTTTGGAAACTTATGCTGCGGGCGGAGTTTGGGAAAGAAATTGGCTTACGGCACAGTCATTGGTCGATTTAGTCGGCTGGTATGATCCGGAAGACGATGTTGTATCTCTTAGCGTTAGTTAACATTGTTTTCCCAAGGAGCCTTTTGGTGCTCCAACCTGCCATTTACCTACGCCCAAGTAGTTATTTCATGCATCCAGTCCTCACTTGACTTGATATTTTCACAAGCAACGTTCTTACTGCATGACTCTTGAAGTGAACACATTTTTTACACAAAGGCTCAGACCTGAAATATAATGGTTATGATTTCAATCTATTGCGGTTTATGGCAGAATTTCAAGCTTGTATATTTTTTTTTCCCTTTGACGGGAAAATGGGATCTTGGCACTTCCAAGGCAGTTTTCTTGTAGAGCTTTCTTGGCAACCTTTCTTGATTTGTTTTTAAAGAAAGCTTAGTGTCCAAAATTACGCTGTCATACACTGTTTATAATTTAGCAAAGTTGATGATAGGGACTTAGTTCTAGAAAATCTCCCTTGCACTGACTCTTGGCTTCCTGTTGCTGAGCACACATTCAAACACAAAATACGAATCTTTGTTCGTTGCTATGTCAACTCAGGACTCTGTTTATTGGAGGACAAAGTAAAACTGATTGTTTAACTTAGTCGTGTAAGAATACACACACCCTTGCAGCTTTGAGTTGAGACTATGGCGTTAGACAGGGGCTGTTTTCTATCAGATCAAAATTAGTGAATGCCATTGATGGTGTTGGCATATATGCAATGGCCAAGGGACCAAACTTCCGTCTTTCAGCTGCTTCCGTGGGACACTTCACTATTCTAATGACACATCTATTTTTTGTGTCTTATCTTTTGTGGTCTTTTTCGGTCTTATTTTAAAGGCAGTCCGCTTTAGTTCTGTCTGGTGATGTTAGTTTGAGGACGTTGCAATTCTTCATTGGAGATTGTCTTTGGCCAAAAGATTCTGTTAACCACTTGTATGCGTTTGGTCTGGAAAACCCCCAGCTTCAGTTCTGACCTGCTAGTTGTTTCAATCATTCCAATATACACATAAGAATACTAAAAAAATCACTGTCAAAGTTTCTGGTTGTGTTGTGGCTCTTCAGGTCGGGAAAACTCCAGAAGGACTTCAACATTCCAAAATCTTGATATTATGCTGATAGTATAGTTGTTTGACTTCTCACAATCAGTAAACGTGACCTTGCTTTCTGCGCACTACAACAATGCCATATCTTGCAGTGGGGTGTTGTTCAGTGTCCTTCACTGTTGCAACTTTCCTGAAGTTGACTTACAGGTCTATCAAAATGGTAGCCTCAGCTAGCATATAACAATGGCAATGTTGGATAGGCTGGTCCTATATTACAATGAGAGTGTTGTACGACTGGCCCTATATTACAATGAGTGTGTTGTAGAGGCTAGTCCTATATTACAATTGGAGTGTTATATAGGCTGGCCCTATATTACAATTGGAGTGTTGTATAGGCTGGCCCTATATTACAATTGGAGTGTTGTATAGGCTGGTCCTATATTACAATTGGAGTGTTGTATAGGCTGGTCCTATATTACAATTGGAGTGTTGTATAGGCTGGCCCTATATTACAATGAGAGTGTTGTATAGCTTTGCCCTATATTACAATTGGAGTGTTGTATAGGCTGGCCCTATATTACAATGAGAGTGTTGTATAGGCTGGCCCTATATTACAATTGGAGTGTTGTATAGGCTGGCCCTATATTACAATTGGAGTGTTGTATAGGCTGGCCCTATATTACAATTGGAGTGTTGTATAGGCTGGTCCTATATTACAATTGGAGTGTTGTGTAGGCTGGCCCTATATTACAATGAGAGTGTTGTATAGGCTGGCCCTATATTACAATTGGAGTGTTGTATAGGCTGGCCCTATATTACAATGACAGTGTTGTATAGGCTGGCCCTATTTTATAATGGTAGTTTTGTATAGGCCATCTTATATTACAAGGACCCTATAGTACAATGGCAGTGTTGTATGGACTGGCCCTATATTACAATGACAGTGTTGTATAGGCTGGCCCTATTTTATAATGGTAGTGTTGTATAGGCTGGTCTTATATTACAATGTAAGTATTGTACAGGCTAGTCCTGTATTACAATGGCAGTGTTGTATAAGCTGATCTTATATTACAAGGACAGTGTTGCATAGGCTGGCCCTATATTACAATGTCAGTGTTTTATAGGCTGGCCCTATATTACAATGGCAGTGTTGTATAGGCTGGCCCTATGTCACAACGCCATTGTTGTATTGGCTTGCCCTATAATGCAATGACAGTGTTGTATAGGCTGGCCCTATATTACAATGAGAGTGTTGTATAGGGTGGCCCTATATTACAATGAGAGTGTTGTATAGGGTGGCCCTATATTACAATGGCAGTGTTGTATAGGGTGGCCCTATATTACAATGAAAGTGTTGTATAGACTGGCCCTATATTACAATGAGAGTGTTGTATAGGGTGGCCCTATATTACAATGGCAGTGTTGTATAGGCTGGCCCTATATTACAATGACAGTGTTGTATAGCTTTGCCCTATAGTACAATGGCAGTGTTGTATGGACTGGCCCTATAGTACAATGGCAGTGTTGTATAGGATGTTCCAAAGTTGGAAGCAGGCACTCAGCCACCAAAGTTGGAAGTAGGCACTCAGCCACCAAAGTTGGAAGCAGGCATTCAGCCACCAAAGTTGGAAGTAGGCTCTCAGCCACCAAAGTTGGAAGCAGGCACTCAGCCACCAAAGTTGGAAGCAGGCACTCAATTAGCCACAAGATTAAAAGATAAGCGTTGAAGCTATTTCAACACAAAACTGCTTAACAGTTGTCTAATATAAAAAATGCCCCTAAAAAACAAACAAAATTTTTAATTGCATCAAAATTTGTTGCGCAGCTATGACATTTTTTAATCAAGCATACTTGAATACATGTGTATAGTTTTTCACCGTGGTATGTCCTCCACTACAGTTTAAAGGTTTTCTAGTATGTCATCTTACCGCTTATACAAACAAAACTTGTACGAACATGTTATTTTTTTTGTCACAACAATAACAACTGGTGAAATTTGTAAAAACACTTACATCGGTAATACCAGCCGTCATCCAGCCACCGAGCCAAGGCATCGACTTCCGTCTCTTTAATGGGAGGCAAATCTCTTCTCAGTTTCAACAGGAAGTTGGGTTTTGGCTCACCTACAAGGTGTTGACCAGACATAAGCATGTTACAATTGGTTGACACAAGCAGGGGCTATAAAATCTTTCATGCTTTTTCATGTCTCCATTAATAAAAAATTATTTAAAGCAAATAAACAATCTGATTAAAATTTTTTGTTAAACCTGTTTTTATTCCATGATTCTATTGACTGAATGTTTGATATGTACCATTCTGAATAACCATGCAGTGGTCGGCCTTGAATGAAAGAACCTTGTGAGACCACTCACCTCTAAACATGGGTGAACTTCTAAAGTCTTTAGACTTATAAAGTTTTATTAAACAGATTCAATTCCCTTATCTAATCAAGTCCTATGTTACAATTATTAAACGGCAGAGCTGAGGTGTAGCTTATTTTTATCTGGGAACATGCCTGATCACCTTCCCAGAATACCATGCCTGATCTCCTTCCCAGAATACAATGCCTGATCTCTTTCCCAGAATACTATGCCTGATCACCTTCCCAGAATACCATGCCTGATCTCCTTCCCAGAATACAATGCCTGATCTCTTTCCCAGAATACTATGCCTGATCACCTTCCCAGAATACTATGCCTGATCATCTTCCCAGAATCCCATGAATCATGAAGCCTTCATAATAAAAAGGATGTACAAATTATGACTAGAGCTAGAGCACTTAAAAGTACCACTAAACATTTGCAGCTTTGACTTCACCGACCTTTGACCCATTCATCATTTATTACTAGATTTCAGTTCAATCATAATGAACAATGAAAGTGATTAATTTAAAATGCCTGTAGCTATAACCCCTTTTCAAATAGAAAATAAGCTCGATCATGCAGAGATGTAACCTTTCTATAGGACTTCGCCCAACACACTTGATACATATCAATTACACCTGCTGGAGTCAGAGACTAAATTTTAACAGTAAAAATATGGCAGCAGTTATAATAGTTATATCAATTTATTACTTAACAAAGAAAACAAGCACTTGCATTAATCACGTTATGCGAAGATAGAAACTTCATAAAATTTCAAAACCACAGTTAAGCAAAATCTTAAGTCTGTCTGAGTAGCCATAGCAATCATAAGCAGTTTTTCAAATTTATTATAGTCTGTTGAAGGGATTGGGGGGGGGGGGGGGGGGAGAAAATGTTTTTGAAAGTTTGCTCCTGTTTTTCTTTTTTTTTTTTTTTTTTTTTTGCTTTTGCTCCAAACATTTTCAATGACAGGAAAGAAAAGTTTTTATGACTTACTTCTGTAGAGAGTTTCTTCTTCACCTCGCTCTTTCCCCATCAGAACAAATGAAGTGATCTGATTAAAAAAATAACATACCACTATATAAGGCTCATTAATTTTATACAGCTACTAACGCACAAAGAGAGCTGAATAATTTCCAAAATAAAGTGAAAATAAACTTTATTTTATTTAACAAATCAATTTACTTTAATTATGTAACAAACCATTTTATTTTAATTATGTAACAAATCATTATACTTTAATTATGTTAAAAATTCATTTAACTTAAATTATGTAACAAATCAATCTACATTTATTATGTAAAAATTCAATTTACTATCATTATGTAACAAATCATTTTACATTAATTTTGTAACAAATCATTTCACTGTACAAAATAGTGATTTAATAAGAATGAGTTAACAACAGAACCCCATGCCTGTTCTGGAAAGATCCACCAATGAAATACTTTTTTTAAAGAATGATCAGTGAAAATATTTTAATTAGAAATTTTTGTCACATATGAAATAGTGGTCAGACATGATATTGCTGTCAAAAAGTTGACATAATGCTGTCACATTAGTTTTAAAATTCATCAAAAATGTTCAGGATGAAAAAGAAGGCAGTTAAAGAGATAATTAAAACAAAATGAAATATTTAATTTAATCTGTTACCATACCATTTCTTGGCGCAACTTTTCAGGTTTAGTGCTCCTCTTAGATTCAGCACTGGAAACAGACGTTGATCTTGATCGAGGAATGGATCTTGATTTAGGAATTGATGGTGATCTGGAAATGGTTCTTGACCTAGCTGAAGATTTGGGTCTAGGTGATGGGCTTGATCGATGGGATGAACTTGATCTTGATGATGATCTTGATCTTGATGATGATCCTGATCTAGAATTTGATCTTGATCTAGAAGTTGATCTTGATCTAGAAGGTGAACTAGATGGTGATCTTAGATCAGCAGGTGGAGGAGCTGGTGATCTTGGATCAGCAGGTGGAGGAGCTGGTGATCTGGAAAAGAATGTTTAACAACTTCATCTCTGGCATCCACTTCTTGCCAATGAGGTATTAAAACTTGACAAGTGTGGGAAGGCATTTATTCACCAATCCTATCAATTACTTTTGACGCCAACAAATTAGGAAGGCATTCATTCACCAATCCTATCAATTACTGTTGACGTCAACAAATTTAACTTCAAAATCCTTTTCATTTTAGTTATAATATAATGTATTCTTTTAAAAAATGTTGAGTTATTTAATCAAACCACTGCTATTTCGTTAACATATTTAACATCACTCATTGGCTTTGTGTATAACCACTATTAATAGAAACAACTTATTTTTCTATGATAGCTGATGATCATAACTTAAAAATTGAAATGCTTTTGCTTTCAAATTATAAATAAGTACTGATTATTATTTTTCTTTGATGGTTATCTTACTTTTCTGGCTTTTTCTCTTTATTTTTCCATTGTTTCTTTATATAAATGATTTCCTCGGCCCTGATGAAAAAACATAACAAAAACTGTAACATGATTACTGAAATGATTTTTAGAACAATAAGTCATTACATCATTAAGCTGATGAGAAAATTGTAAGATTGATAATTGAAAGATTAATTAAATAGTAGGGAATTAAATATCAGTTGCAGTCTGAACTCTGGCTTTTAAATAAAATGAATTAAAGAAATACAAACACAAATGATATAGTTTTTTTTTAAATATTTAAAAATGGGATACTTCAAGTATCTAACATTTAAAGTGTTAAAAAAACAAAAGATTTTAGAAAAATGTTAATTAAAATTTTCATGATATTTGATTGGGAATATTAGATAAAGCTATTGATGCAGATTTTTACCAGGATAGCGATAAAGACATTGAATTTACTTTAACATTTTTTGTACCTAAAAGGAATTTCGATTTATATTTTAATTATCAATGGTTTGCTGTTTGGAAGCATTAAAAAATGCATATCCGATCTTCAAGTATTTGCTTTCAAAAAAAGCTAACAGGGAAAAAAGAAAATAACAGAAATTTACTCTTCTTTATTCTCCCCTTCTTGCCGGGTCAGGAAATTGAAAGCCAAATCAAATCTCTCCTTGCTAATTTTAACAAGATGTTTTCTTGAGGTTGAGGCCTGTAAAGTTATAGATTATCTGAGTTAGCAAACGTCATAACAAAGTTTAGAAAAAATAATCTCAGTTAAGTAGAATTATATTTGTATTCTTATTTCATAATTTACACACAGCTTGGTTAAAAAAAGAAACCACCGAAATCTTACTTCCTTCAATTTAAATGGACAGATACATTAAAAATAATTAATTTAAAAAAGAAAATCTACTAAATTTATTTTTATTTAAAGAAGGAAAGTGCTCTTGGAAAAAAATAAACACAAAAAGCAGCCATTGTTGTAAAAACAACACAAAAGAATTTTTAAAAATATATTGAATAGCTCAAAAAATATTTTTTGAATATTTATTAAACTAAAGTGAAGTTTTAGTAAGTAATAGATTTTAGGATAATGCTTTCAGCAACATGGTTTAAATAAGTGATATACTAATAAAATATACATATATTAAGTAACCGATAAGGTGAGTTCTCTTAGTATAAAACGAATGAGAACCTTAATTGGTGTCTAAGAAAGAAATGTTTAATATTAAACTTACGATTTGTCCATTATACATGACAACAGTATAACATTTGCAGGCAAGGCATGTATGATCAGACTTTAAAATCTTGGCAGGCACATAACATTCACTCTCATTTTCTAGATTCACCACTCTGATGAGGACATAATCTCCTCCCTAAGGAATTTTTTTTAAAAATCAACAAAAGGATAAAAAGTGCAAACAATCTTTCAGATGAGAAAAGGTTAGTTCTCTTGGGGCGTTTATCTTGTATTAAAAAATCTTATTTCAGTTTGAAAAATTGTCACTTATACATATTTATCAACAGACAAAAAAAATAATGAGCAAATGGTTAAAATTAAATAAGTATATATATTTTTAAATAGGTAGGAAAAATAAATAATTAAAATTATGAAAATAAAAAAGGCAATTTTTTCTTCATATCTAGTTTATTTTCTTCATTGCTGCATCATATTTTCTTCATTGCTACATCATATTTTCTTCATTGCTACATCATATTTTCTTCACTGCTACAGCCAAGAAAAGGAATAACCAACATTCTGAAAAAGCATAACAGCTGTTCAATACTAAAAATGCTTGAAATCAGCATACAGCATTTTTGGATAGATTATTAAGTATAATAATGAAGTATTTACAAAGCAAGGATGCTGACTTACATAAAGAGCAGCCCTGGCTACAGCTCCACCCACTGGTATAACGTAACGGGTGAAAACAGTGGCAGTCACTTTATCTTCATACTCAACAACTGCATGGCGCAAGTCAGGTGCTTTTTTCACCACAGCTGAGCAGGGGAAAAATTGGTATTAATTTGGATTTTAATTATTAAAAATTTTGTTTTGCCTCTACATATAATATGCTAAAATGAATTTAAATAAATATGAACTTTTTGTATACAATCCATGCTCATCTTAAAGGCGCCTGATAAAATGGACATTGCGTACTTCCAGGTGTAATAACTGACTGATGTCCAGCTTTTAGGCAAGCCAGAAATAATGTTTGATAACAAAATTGAATCAACACTGTATTACCTGGGTAGTAGAGCCCATCCTTGTCTTGTCTTGCAATCACCCTTTGACCTTTGAAAGGAGTCAGAGTCATTGTGATTTTTTTCCTCCTGGATTCCGTATTTTCATTCGCTTGTTGAATGTCTTCTACTGAATGAGATGTTGAATCCAGGTCCTTCTAAGATCAACAAGAATTGAATTGACTTTGCATGTGTTTAAACAAATCATACTTAGACCTTCTTTCAAATGATCACAACTTTTATTTTTAACATTTTAAATAGAGCCCATGGAAAAATGTACATTAATTATGGCCAATAATAGAGAAATAACGTTAACAATGGACAAAGCTTTTTAATACTAAGCTTTTGAGATGGTGTCATGTTAAAATCTTTTTAAAGTTAAAACTATTTCAAATGCTTTCTATTAAAGATTTTGCTACCATTTTCTTTCTTGATTTAATCTGTGTCATGTTTTATTTTTTAAACAAAATATACAAAGATTAAATGTTTCAGTTCTATTGTTTTCTTTCACTGGTTGATATAATTTACCAATCCTCAATTAAGAGGAAAAGGAAATACAATTAAGAGGCCATATTTTTTCATATTTTTAATTGATATTTGTGGTATTAAGATTGCTAAAATTTTTGTAAATAAAAGCCAAATAGTATAATTAACATTGTTTTATTTAAAATTAAAAATTAGGTTTGATACAAATACAAAGCACATTGAACTTACAACAGATTAAAGACTTACATGAATATAATGCATAATTTTTGTGTTGTTATTATACCCTCATCCTTTGACTTCTTCTCTGTTCTCTCCATTAATAAGGGCATCCAACAAATGTATTGTAGGGTGCTCACCACAAGATTAACACACTAAAAGTTTTTTATAGATGTTCCTACCACTAATCTTATGTCCTCCATTTTGATTTACATTATTTGTGTGTTTGTTAATCATGAGAGAATGATTGTGGCCTGATGACAGACACCAAAGGTTCTACCTTTAGATATTAGGTAGCTTTTGTTTTTTTATATATATATTCTGGCCTGATATTATCAAGGTTGCTGCAAATATGCTGTCCAAAACATTTTAGAAAAATTTCAGATGATTTAAGATTTAAATTTGTAACAATAAGTAGACCTAAAGCATTCATTTGAAGTTTCTGTAAAATAAAAGTGGTAGAGTAGGCCTACTTTCTACCACCTCGATCAAAATAAAGGCATTTTTTATTATTGATAAAACAATTAAAATTGTTCTCAGTGACTTCCGATAGAAACATTTTAAATCCCTTTAAAGTTTAATCCATTTAAAATTAAATTATGGCTGAGGGGGCTAAAAACAATGCATATTAGATCTACAACAAGCCTGGCTTTTGTCAAGTTATATCTTAAAGTCTCAATGCCAGTAAACACAGGAAGCCAGGTGGGGGAGAATATGTAGAAAGGCAATCCTAGCAACCATATATCCTAGCAACCATATTGCCAGCAATAATGGAAATAAAAAGATACAATAAAATTCACATGATATCAGCTTTTGGTGGTGGCAGATTCTGACATCCTAGTCATTTACTATAATCAGAGCCCTAAGTTTTACATTGTACATCAAATCATCAAACAAAACCAGAAGTAATGATCAAAGCAAAATTGTAAGAATGGATGGTGTTGAAAGTGTTTGTGACTGTTGGTCAGTTTGTTTAAGATATTTGTAATCTCTCGGTCAGTTAGTTTGAGGCAGGAAAAACCCCAAAGTAATAAAATGTGAATGATGTTGGAGGTGATTTGTAAGTTGCTACAGACGATATAGGTACTGTATGCAAAAAACAAAGACTTGTTACTTTTTTATAAAAGTGCAAAGACATAAATTATGACAAGTATTTACCAGACTTACATTGTAAGTCTTACAGCTCCCATTATGTTGCCTGAATCTGTAGTTTTTAACACACCTCTTTAGCTCTTTTTATAAATCAAAGTTTGATAATTTACAACCAATTCCTTGATAGAATACCTCCTGGATTCGCTTGTTTATTCAGATTATTGTTAGTATAACATTTTGCTGTTCTTTTGTACATGTTGCACTCTATGTTAATACACATTTTTTAAGGAAACACACAAACAGAATTACAAATTTTAATGAGCAAATATGAAGGAAAATTATGTAAAGGAACGGGGAAGGCCTACTCTTGTTTGATGTTTATTTAATTTTTGTTTGAACAGAATTATACCTTCTGGAAAACACAAAATTGTAAATAAAAAAAGAACAAAATTTGAAAGTTAAAAATTACTGTTTATTTAAAAAACATCTTTTATGTATCGACCAGTGTCAAAATAGTAAATTTATAATATACCATAGAGATTAGGATATTTATAATCTTAAAAATCTGGCTCACTTAAAAGCAATTTGCAATAAAAACTGGCTTCTAATGCAACATAATAAAAAAAGAGATAATTAATATGAGATGCATATTTTCCTTCATATGAACTAAAAAAATATATTGTTAGTAAAACTAATAGCAAAGGATAGTGTTATAAAATATAAAGGCACTTAAAAAATCTAAAGAAGTACATGTACTTGGTATTATTAAATGTTCTTCTAGCACCGGGGTGGGAAAACCTCTCGCCAACCAACAAATGTGGCAAATAGTGTGATGAATTCGGCTTTTATCCAATTTAAATTTATAAAAAATAAATATTTTAATTACCATTAAACACCATGCTCATAATATTAAATATATGAACATTTTATCATATTTAACATTTAGCAGCCAATAGGCACGTGATCATTTGGATATATTATTATGTGCATACTGTTATAATGTCATTGTATATTAAAAACTTTTATTTTTTTGGCTTTTACTTTATAGTGAAATTTCCTGCCTACATTTTTGTTGAATTTTTTTTTTTGACAGAAAAACTGTTGAAGAGATACTGCTTATGGCTGATAGAAGTTAAAAATGTGGTCTGACAGAAATTTGAAAACATCAAATCTATTCTAGGCATATCAAACTTATTTTTAATGTTTAGATCAATTTGGCTCTATGTGAATCAGCATTGTCTACAATGCGATTCATCATTCAAAAATACAGATGCCTTATTGTTGTTATGAATATATAGGCAGAGCTGAGGTGTGTCTTGACAATGGTACAAGAATTGAACCATAATTTGTGTACTTTGTTAATGAAATGGAAGGCAAATTTCATTTACAAGTTTTGTTAAATTATTGTAAAAAGAAAAGTTTTAAATTTAATTTTCTTTAATACTAGCATTTTATGTTTTATATTTAGAGTATGATGTTTTTATTTTCATTTTTGCCACAACTCTGGCTTTTAAAAAAAAAGTTTACAGATCTTGCTCTAGCAATTAAGTATGAGGTCGTATTTTTTTACTAATTTTATAAAGAAAAAAATATAAAGGGATTGTAGCAAAAACATGACATTATTTCTGTTTACCGATCAGACAGTATTTTTTTAAAAATCATTAAAATAATTTTTATCACAGCCATTGTGCTTTTAAAATATAATTTATATGAAAGACTTAATGATAAATAAAACATACTGCACTCTACAGGAATAAAACTTTCATCTTCAAGGAAAAATTATTTTAGAGAAAACATTTTAAAATTTACTTTAAAACAAACGACTATTTTATATGTATGCGGTGAAGTTTCCTCACTATATAATCATATCTTCCATAGATACACCAAACTTCCTCCCCTTCAGCATGTCATTAACATATGAACAGTAGGCTCAGAAACAGATACAGCTTTTTTTAAAAATCTATTGCATGTTTGTTATTCTGTTATTGGGCCTAATTAAATAAAGTATAAATATTTTCTTTTTCAACATGAGGAAAGATAACAAAATTAAAAATAAATTCTAAAATAATAACTTTACAGATGATATTAGGAAGTAAGCATAACAAAGTTTGGGAAAATATGAAAAAGAGAAAGCAACAAAACAATTAACATGTTCACAAGAAGATACAGATGATATTAAAGGCAAGAAGATACAGAAAATATTGAAGACTAAAAGATACAAATGATATCAAAGGCAAGGAGATACAGAAGATATTGAAGGTAAGAAGACACAGATGATGTTAAAGTCAAGACGATGCAGATGATAAAAAAGGAATAACAATTCTACAAAATAATACTGTGATGTATAAAAAAAATCTGGCTTAATATGACATTAGAATGTATAGGCCTGCCTATTAAAATTATGTTATTTGAAATCAATAATGTTGATGTTAATATGTTAATATTGGGTTTAAAAAAAATAAGCCTCTTTATAAATATCAACAAGTTATTTACTTTAATTGATGACATACATACAAATTTAAGAATTTAAGACATTTTAAGCCAACAATCATTAAATCTGGCACTCTAAGTTGATCAAGGTGTCTTATAGAGGAAAACACAACTATTTCTACATCACATTTGAAAAGAAGACGCAAATTTTAAAATTTGAATTTTTTCAACATATTTTAGGATTGTGTACAAAAAGGGGCGGAGGGAGTGGTCCCAAAGGCCATTGTTTGGTAAATATTATAATGAAAATTTGCGATAACTTGTGAATAAAAACAGCAAATTTGATAAAGCCTTTTATAAAAGAAGTAGTAAAGAGCCTAACAGTTTGAAAGAATTTAAAAGATGGACGTTATTTTTCAAGGTGTTGCTATGCCAGAAATGAACATAAAGGGTGCACACATTAATAAAGTTATTACATAATGATTAAGACTTATAAGCGTGAAAGGATTTTAGGCATGTAAAAAAAGGATAAATAAAAAGTTTGACATGAAACCTTCATCATAATAAATAATTTAGATTGAACAATTTAATAATTTAACTAAACAATAAAAATGTGAAATACAATAATTTGAATAAATAAAGCAAAATAAGAGTATACCAAAAAGAATTTGTAGATAAAATAAATTAATTAGCAGGTTTTAAACATTAAATCTTCAAGGGATCAAAATCAACATCATCTCATTTAACTGCATTTTTATGAAAGATTGTTATTTGTCTGTATTATTTTATTTCTTGGTGATGGAACCTTGCGTTCTGTTCTTTTTTAGTTGTAGTATTACTATTGCTACAATAGTATTTTTGATAACATGGTCCATATTTTGAATATTTTAAATATCTGTTATGCATGTTAAAAAATAGTCATTACTTCATTTAGCTTTCACTAAAGTGTTATCCTACAGACATTCTCACAGTGCCTGTTGCTTTTTTTAATTACTAGAAATACCAAGAAATAGCAAAGTTGAAATTTTATCAAAATAATTATTTTAAAATATCAACTATTTGTGTACTGTATTTCTCAATGGGTTTCTAAATTTAGCACAAATTGTAGGCAATATTAAGAGAAATCTTTTGGGATAAGTGCTTGTGATTATTTCTTTATAATTAACATAGCCAAAAGTTTGGTTTTCAGCTAACTTTGGTGTATATAGTTTTAAAAAAGAATAAGATTATAGAATTTAAATTCAGTTAGTAACAAAACATCCCCAATATAATAAAGCAAATTCATCAAAGTAATTACTTTTAAAAATGTAAATTTAAACCTTCTTTAAAAAATCTTACGATTTGACAAAATATAATATAATACATCAGATTTTACAAAAAAAATTTTTTTGCAATTGAAGTAAATGTCAATTGTGTAAAATGTTCTTAATAAATTGCAAGAAAAGAAATTATTTTTAAAAATCTTTTTGCCTTTAATTATAAAATAATCCTGAAAATAGAACAATACTTGAGCCTAACACTAAAAATAAGGCATTGCATGTTTGCAAAGAAACACAGTAACAAAGCAACAAAAGATTATACAGTAGGCCGCCTGATAAATTATGAGGAATGCAATTCAAGATATAGATTACACTCAAACATTTGTGTTGACAACTCTGACAGATAAATTGTGACAAAACTTGTCTCAGTAAGAACTAACCTCTTTATTTTTTGAACTTCTTGAGCTGTGATCTGATTTCTCACGTGGGCTAGAAACAGCATGGTTGGAAGTGTCTGGAGACCTTGACCTCTTTGGGACCAAGTCAAATGAATCTTTGTCATCTTCCTCGTCTTCACCTGCGGCTGCCTTACGTATGGCAACGGACTGAGCCATGTATTTCTCACCATAAGCAATTTCTTTAAGTAAAAGGTTGACATCTTTTTCTCTGATTGGCCAGTAGTCATCTTCCTCAAGATATTTAAGGAGCTTTTCCTTGTTTTCTTCAAATGAAACTGGCTGGTCAGAGTTATTGAACCTATGGGGGGGGGGGGGGAGAAATCAATAACAAACAGTGTACTTTTATTTGCATTCTTTTTACTCTTCGAATCTCAAGTCTACAAATTTGAGTTAGTAAAAGGGCAATAATTTAAAAACCGAATCCTTTGGTGACCACAGTTTTACAGGGGTCTGTCTGTTACATAAATAACAAGATCACTTGCTAAATGTGAATTTTTAGTACCAGCTGTTGTCAATAGCAGAATTCTATACTTTTATAGACATTTGAGAACATAAAATCAGGACATTAGTTGATAATAAATTGGGTCTACTACTTACTCTTCTTTGGCTGAATTAGGAAGAGCACTCCATACAATTTTGTTTAGTCGCCTGAAAGATATAAACATTTTTGGTGTAAATATGTGCATTGCTGTTGCTAATCTGAAGCACATAAAGTAGATGGCACTGTAATTTAAATAGAGTGCATTTAATACAGTGCAGCAGTAGAGATTAATTTCTCCTTTTCATCTAAATAAATTGATTAAGTTCATACTTACAAAACTTTGGCATTTAAAAATGTAACTGATAATCAAGTTAAAATGATGAATTCATCATGCCCAATGACTTGATTCTATGAAGCATAACAGTTACAAGATTAAGTCTTACTTTCTGTACTTTCCAACTGCTACTTGTACTTTCTTTTCATACTCATCAAGGTTAACACCAGCTGGGTTAATCAGTCTTATCTGATGATTTCTCGACACATGAGCCAGGGGCAAAATCTAAATGAGAGATTTTAATTAAAATTAATCATTAAGTGTTGGGGGAGAGGTGTAATAGAATAATATGATATCAACTCAAGGCTTTGGTCTGTGTAACAACTAACTTTACTCTCAATTCTACATTCTTTTTATACCCAACATCACATGACCACTCACTCCAGTTCTCAACCAATATTCACACATTCAAGTTTAAACATTCATGAAAACAACTCACCAGTCATATAACATCAAAGAACAATCAGGTTACAAAGTTCAGTCAATACACATGAAAACAATAATTGTCAGCCAAATAGTCACTCATACTGTTACAAGAGGCATTTGGAAACTTGATGGTTTTCTGAATCACTTAGTCTTTCAAGTACTAGACACAATTATTATTATTTAGTATCAATTAATCAAAAAATCTCACTTAGAAATTTTGTCAGTATTTTGTGCAGTCAGAAGCATTGCATACATGACCTGTCATATTCGCAGCATAGGAATTGAAATTAAAAAATTTAATGTACATTTTGAGAGAAGATAGAAAAATTATAATTTTTTAACATGTCTGTTATGGTGGACTAGCGGACTGGCCCATACCGATAGCCATTCAAGCAAACAGCGCACATGCGCAGAGAGACTGGACAGAGAGTGTGTGTGTGTTTATGAACCGTGTTCCGGACGCAAGCAGAAAGTCAACACCTGATTGAGAACTTGTATTTATGTATATATATGTTTATGTTACTTGTTTGAAATAAAAACATTGAAAAAAAAATATATACATAGCCAAGACTCACCTCGTTAAAGACTTTTGACATCACATATTTGTCTAATATTGTTACATATTTTGGATTGAGGGGCACAAACGTAGGACCCAAGGCATCAAGAATGGTTAGTTTCTTTGCTATTAATCCATGCTTGCTCAGCCACTGTTTAGAGGACTTCTCATTTGCTCTGAGAAATTAAGACATCAACAGTTGATTTAAACTTCATAAAAATACAAAGTGTTGACACCAGTTTAGAAGAGAGTATAAATTGTATTCTCTTTGATTAAAAAGGATTGACATTGATTAACATTGATTGCCATTGATTGCCATTGATTGCATTAATTGACATTGATTGACATTGATTGCCATTGATTGCCATTGATTGCCATAATTGACATTGATTGCCATTGATTGCCATTGATTGCCATTGATTGCCATTGATTGCCATTGATTGCCATTGATTGCCATTGATTGCCATTGATTGCCATTGATTGCCATTGATTGCCATTGATTGACATTGATTTATGTACATTGAAAACAGTCACCTCCAAGCTCTCTTCACTTTAAACTGATTCAGGAATATTTTAATTGGTAATAGTCTAGTTGTATGATAACGATGAAATTGATGGCAAATAATAATTTTGACCAAACAATCTATCTCTAATCTCTAATTCTTGTGGCATAACATTAATTATAAGAGTTAAATGAATACTTTTAAATACAAATGTTTTAGCATAAAAAAATTCCCAAATGGTAATGATTTATTTCCTCAAGTTTTTGAGGTCTTAAATTTCTACAGTCACTCACTTGGCAAGGACTTTAACTTTCTTTTTTCTCTGCTCTTCAATAACTTCATTTTCTACAAGGAAATAATCAATGAATTGGTGAAATGACAAATGTAGCAAACATGATTGATCAGCAATGAATTGTTGATATGACAAGTGCAGCTAAGATTTAATTGGCAGATTTTTCAAGTTTTAATCCTTGTAAGGGTAATGTCATCTCCTCTGTTCTACTGGATTGGTTAATTCGTCAAGTTCTTTCACACGTTGAAATACGTCACACTAATCTTACTATCACTGAATAAACTCAAATCCTTTTCATAATAATTATAACTTTAATATCTAATTATTAACACATGCATATAGCCCAGCTCGCTATCGGACATAAATAAAACACATCCTACTTCTATAAAGTTCCTTTCAAGACTGCCAGACAAATAAAGCTTACATCACAATACAGTCTAGACAATATGTCACAATCAGCATAAAAATATGTCAGTAAGTCAATGCAGAAAAAGTGCTCACTAACTTATAAAACTCTCAAACACACACCGCGCGTAATGAACATAATTATTCAGTTGCAACAATTATCAAAGAACTCCCATACTTGACAGGTAAAGCCTTTAAAATACTGATTGAATAATTTTTTAAAGTGAATATTATAGTGGTTACATGGCAAATTAGTTGTCTTTTGTTTTACAGTAAACCAACTCACGGTGAGCTATCTGCCGTTGTCTCTCTGCTTGCTGTTGGAATAAAGTCTTAGTTTCCGGGAGCAGCCACTCACTGGGAGAAAACCTTCCACTGCTGCTCAAAGTGCGGAGTAAACTGGTTCTTGTGTGTGCTGTCAAAAAAGTGTATTGATGTATTTCATGTAATTTTTATATATACATATCACATGAAACTTTTATGTGTTTTATTTTCCATTGAGAAGTTCTCACCATTCCATGTATCCTGTCTTGACTGCATTTTATTTCCAATTTAAATATTCCCTAATTTTAATTCTTTGTTACTCATTTCTAAAATTCTCAAAGAAATTTTTTTTTTAAATTCAACTTGTTTAGCAAAATCAGACTCATAATTATTTTGTATTTTTCAAACTGGCATAGTCAGTTTGAAAATTGTTTCTGAACGTAGTTATACTCAAGGAAAAAGGCATTGAACTTTAAATAAAAACATGAATGTTCAAGGATAAAGGAAATAAATTGGTTCACTTAATAAGAATATTTAAATGATTAGTAAAACAAAAAAAATAAATCCAGCACACTCAAAGTTACACTTTCCAGACAAGCAGACAGTTTTTAAATAAAACAAATTAATCACATTAAATGGGGCCAAACAAAAGAAAAAGTTTATCTGCCCAGCTGTTGATTTGAATAAAAAAAGATATTAAAAAAATCTGGAACTTAAATACTGATGCTCCTGAAGAAAAAGTCAGACTAAAAATTAAAAGATCTTGAAAGCCACTCCACACATGATAGTGACTTAATGAAAAAAAAAGATAATGAAATCAAACTCAACAACTCTTTTGCTTACATAAACCAAGAGATTAGTAAAAGGCATACCGAGTTTTCCAACGGTTTTAGCTTGATTATTAAGAGGAAAAGAAAAATGTTAAGTCCCATAAATTAGTTATACTTTTTTAAAAACTCTTCATAATGTAAAAATTTGTTAGGTTGACTTATAGTTTGTTTTTTTTTATATATGAGACCCATAATTTGTGCTGTACCTTGCACGGACCTATTCAGTGCTAGAGACTTAACCTGAGAAATTCCAAGCCTGTTTAGTCTGAAATGATTTTGCTAACTATAAATGCAAAGTGTACACCTCTGACACTCATTTCCATGTAAGTGTGAACTTCATGACAGTTAAGTTCTCTCTCATGCCAATCATTAGTGCAAGATTCTATTTAGAAGAAGTTTCTATTGATAAATCTGGGATATGTTGTTGATAAATTTATAATGTCAAAAATGTTTTAAAATGATAAATTGGTCCATTGTAATTGGCCAATTTATCATATCATTCTATTAAGTGAATGTTGATTCTATGTTTAATGTGATCACAAGAATTAGTTCACAATTAAAAATTTAAAAACAAAAAAAAAATTAAAATTTTAAAATTTAAAAAAATGCATACCAGCATATAGGGGCTTCTTGGACAAGGTGAGTTTTCCAGACTTAAGCTTTCTTGGAGACCTTACTGACAGCCGTGCACTTTCATAGCCTCTATCATCACGAGCTGAGTGTGGGTGCTTTATGGGTGGGGAGGGTGTATAGTGTTGGCTTAGAGAAAACCCTGTAGATATTGTGGGTGGTGCACTTGAAGGTCTGTGGGTCAGATTTATTCGAGATGATCTCAAAGGTGTTTCTGGTCTGTACAGATCTTTGGGATCCAGTGGAGGTACTGCAGAAATGTAGGAACCCTCAGTTGATTTTCTGAAATTGAAAGAAATAGATTAGGCATTGCAAGATATTGCATACAATTAATTAGAAGTCTTAGTACACAGATCACACAGATATTTTTTTTTATAAAATTGATTAAGATGAGAGGTTGTAAAAAAAAAAAACACCAAGAAATTTAAATATTTGAAGAATTTGCAAACATCTATCTTTAGAACAGTGGAGCTAATTAAAGATGGGAATAATTTCCCTTAATTAAAAGTTTAAGCTACCACAGAGTAAAAATTTTAAACAACCCACTGCCTAGCAAGCCATTGCTTATTTAGTTCTCAAATTTGATAAGGAAAATATCCTACTACTCTTAAAATCTCTAAATTAATTTTTAACTGATTAACTTTTGTAATATTTGTAGGGAATAACTAAAAAATTCTATACTGGCTAATTAAACTTAAATTACCCCCATTTAAAGCAATAATAATCTATTTTAGTCTCATATATTAAAATCATAAGTAAATAAAAATCTGGCACAACTATATTAAAAACAAAAATATTAAGCTTCTTAGTGATAACCTTGAAGAATTAATGCTCTGCCTGAGAGAATCAGTCTCCCTCTTCCAGGCCAATCTGGTACATTCATCCCTTAAATCTGTTAGCTGATCCAGATTTTCCAAACCTCGTTTGATTTCATCTTTTAGCAGCTGAACATCCATGCTCTGAATAATTTTAAAAAATTGAATTTAGCTCCATAACATGCAACTCTGAAATATTGACAGCTTTCTTAAATCAAATGATAATTAACTGGTTAGAAATCAGTCATGTAGCAAGGCTGAAATACGACTTTTAATTTCAAATTGATTTAGACTTGGATAAAATGTGAAACAGATAGGGTTAATTTTATTTTTTGGGGATATTGATATTTCAGGGATAAATAAAAGTTATGGACATATGGATAAAGAAAGACACTCAAATTTTGGAATAAAGGCTAAAAAGATTTGATTGAATTTAGTTTAGCTTTAAAAATAAGTCAATGAAGGAGCGCTACCAGTCAACTTACCTGCCAAGATTTTGGATGCTCCACAGGTGGTCCAGTCTCAGAAAAGTAATGATATCGTCCACCGGTGGCCTCTGATAAGCTGTAAAGGAATTGGTTTGCCTCCACATCATCACAGTTGAAAGATATGCAGTGTATTGGAATACTCTTCTGCATCTGAACTTGGGCCAGTATTGACTTTGGTGGCTGTCAAGAGAAAAGTTAGGAATCAGCGCACACAATTTTCTAACTCATTTCAAGTTGCACTATATTTCATAAAATATGCTTAATATGAAGTGTAGAAATGGTTAACTTGCTGAACTATGAAAATAATGAACAAGCCAAGTAAAATAAATTCTGTAGCTGAGAGTCTGTAACAAATAAGAAGACACATTACATTAACAATAAATAATGAAGAAAGTAATTGAATTTTAGCCCATCATGATGGGCCATTTAAAACTCATCAAGCTAGAAAAAATTACCCCTGAGAAGTCATTTGTGCCAATTCATTAACTTTTTCACTCATCTGAGGTATCACAGTTGTGATGAGGAAATAGCTGAAAATTCCTTTTAAGAAACATAAAAGTTTTCTTACTTGATCAGGTCGACCATCTGTCAAAAGATATATGGCCTGCGTATTTGGGTCTGCCATAGCAATCTGGATGGCGGCGTATGTATTGGTCGAACCCCAGCAGGACAGGTTCTCAATCCAGGACCATGCACTCCGCAAGGAGCTTTCAGAGACCTCCACCAGTCTATCTTTCCAAACTGCTGCTTTTGAGTTGAAGGCAACAAAATTGAACTTCTTCTTGTGGCGCAACTGTTCCTAAACAAAGTCAAATGAAACATAATGAAACAACAAACTTACACAAAAGAATATGAATAAATTATAAACATTGATTACAAAGTATCAAAAACATTGATTTTTCATCTTTTGAAAGAGTCATCCTTTGATGTTTTGTGTTTTTGCCATTTTGGAGACAGCTAACAGTTATGTAACTTTTAGATGTTGTTGTTCCTCCTTTGCATGCAAAAATGATCAATGCTATAATCAACAGTATGTATGCAGGTAGCTATTTGTGCCTGGAAAGCTTTCCCACACATAAGAAACACATATAATAGGGTCCTAATTGGATTGGAGTAGATTCTGCTTTTTCTTGCTGTGCTGTGCTTTTCCTTCTTTGGGCATGAGGGATGCATTTACTTTCTGAGGATTGTGCTCCAGCAGTGAGCCTGGCTCACCAGCTTGTACAATCCATACCAAGCATTTCCTAAAATTCAGGTCAATGTCCATGAACAGTCCTAAAAGAATTTTTTCTACCCACCCACTGAACGTTTCTCTCTGGAGTGTTAATTGAACATTAGTTTTTTAGGAACTCTGCTGTCGGGCATTCTTGCAACGTGCCCTGCCCATCTGACTTATCCTTTTTGTAGGATTGTGTGAATTCTGAATAAGTCAGCCTGTTGTAGGACTTCTATTTCAGGGACTGTGTCCTGCCACCTTATGCCAAGAAGTTTGCATAGATGGCGGAGATGGTTTAGCTGTCTAGCATGTCTGCTGTACACTGTTTACGTCTCATTAGCGTAGAGGAGAGATGTTAATATGATTGCCCTATATGCTTTCAGCTAAGTGACAAGACTAACACCCTTTCCCTTCCAGACACTCTTGCGGAACCTTCCAAATGGAACATTTGCTTCGGAAATTCGGTTGTTGATCCCTTCTTCTAATATTACTCACTGGGAGAGGGTGCTGTCCAAATATGTGAATATCTACACTGGAGATTCTGTCTCTTCACTGATATGTTAGGTTAGGTGTAAGCCTTTCTTGGAGCTGGCTTTGAGACACATGTATATTGTTTATACTACATGATCACTACTAAACCAGAATTCACTATTACACATTTTTTTTTTTACAGTTCACTTATTCATGATGGTACACTATTTTGAAAAATATAAATGATGAAATAAGGAACAAGTATGTTACATATTTTGTGTCCTCATGATGAAAGCTCAAGATGTCAACACATATTTATAGAAGCTTAATACCAACTTTTGCCGAGACCAAATTATTTAATGTCTAACTTGCCTGCATTAACACCAATATTTTTTGTTTGACAAATCCCAAGCTTGGTCTCATTGAGTCTGATGTATCAATAAGAATGTATATTTGGTCTTCCACAAGGGTACCAAAGAGAGATCGACTTCCTTTATTTAGCCAATCAATCCTGCAAGACAAGTGCAGAAGTTAGTTGAAAAAGAGTTTTAAACTTTACAAATTTTTTGAATGCATTATACATGTTAGAATATACCTAAATTTCTCATATTTAAGTACTAAATTTCTCATATTTAAGTACAGTTCAAACTAATTTGATTTCTTAGAAGCACTTTGTTAGAAGTACATAAAAAAATTCAAACCTCTGCTGTATTTTGTTCAGTGCCACCTGAACTTTCTCCTCATAGCTCCTGTGAACATCTGGGGTAACTTGGACATGAACAGTCTGCCCGTCTCTCCATTTCACAACAGGAAATTTTTCACAGTAACGGGCATTGACCAGCTTCTGGCTTATAACCTGGATAAGTTAGTTGTGAAATATTCCTTTTTTTTAAATTATGTTTTGTTGAATATCATGAGTATATTTAATAATTTCAAAAAGGCAAGATTCCCAGATTACTGTAAATTACTGCGTATAATGCAAGGAATTTACGGTGAAAAATGGTACCTAAAATAAGGGTTAACATTATTTTTCATTACTGATAAACAATATAAACTAATGCCTATACAACCAAATCTTCTCAGCCCACCCACATTTTGTGACGAAGCGTGCATGGTATATGTGCATAGAACCAGTACCGTAGTTCTCCTTGAAGGGATATTAACGAAGATGTATGGCGATGACCACAGTACAATGAGGACATGGAATTTTAGAACTCATAGCTTTAAGGGTTTGCATTATACTTGGATCTTGTTATATGTGGTAATATATGGTAAGATTTAATATTGGAATGCTGTGTTTTTTTGTGTGTTTTTTTTATTGATGTGGATGTAAGACTGAAGCAGAAAAGAAGAAGAAACATTCCTCACAGCATCAGTTTGGGTCTCTGTGTTTGGTGGGTGCATGCTGTCCATGATGCCATCTTGGTGTTTGAAGGCAACAGTTGACAGGATGTCATACAGTCCAAGCTTTCGTACTTCCAGGCCATAGACGTCCAGCCATTCCTTAGAGCTCATATACTGCTCATCTTTTGACGACAATGATCTCTTGGTTTTAGGTGGTTCATCTAAATTGATATTATGTTTAAGGACATCATTTCAAAGTGAATTCAATTCACACAAAACAAAGTTGATGATAAAAATAATTTCAAATCAAAGGCTTCAGATTCAAGCAAGGTAAATTACTAGAGTGACTAGATGAATATGATTTTTTTTCTTTTAAGGTGAAAATAATTAATGCTCTTACAACTTCTTCATCATTGAACTACTCTAAAAATTGTATGCATGACATGTGAGTCTGGAGCTTTAATCTCACTAATGGGAATGATCAGTTCAGAATTATTGTTAAGATAATAGGTCCCCCACATAACGCCAGGTGACCCTTTGAAACAAGGGTGGCCAACCCAAGAGGCTTTGCTGGGAACTTTGATAGCAAGTAAACTGTTTTCAGGCTGCACGTCATCAAACCTTATCATTAAAATAAACACCCCCAAATTGCTGTATATAAACTTTCATCCTAAACCCACATAATGAAATAATCTATCCTAAACCCACATAATGAAATAATCTATCCTAAACCCACATAATGAAATACTAAAATAACAAAACAAAATAAAACTAAACTATTGTGACATCATTTTATCATTTGTCTCACTTTTCTTTGTCATTTGAATGAAGAACAAATAAGTTTATTTATTGTGATAAATTAGGCATCAGCCAGCTGCAATATTTGACGTGAAAGGCTGTATGCAGTCCGCGGGTTTGTAAACCCATGATTTAAGAAGTAGCAAGCAACCTTCACACTTACAGGATAATGTAAATTTAAAATTTTGAAAAGAAACTTAGAACTTAATATGAAATTAAAAATAATGGGGGAAAAGAAGCATTAAGTGAACCATTGATACCAATGCAGGTCAGATTGAACATGTTTTGACAAAATAAAAGCCAAAAGTTAGTCTGCCTTAATTGGTTAACTCACAGAAATAAAAAGATTGAAATATATTACCTGCAGAACTTCTACCAGGCTCTGGAACTTTGTCAATGAGCATTCGAATTTGGGTCAGATTGCTTCGGGCCTCCTCTAACTCCTCAAATATAAATATAACATCTTCCCTGACCCCGGCTCCTGGTGGGATGCCACCAATGGTTTTTCTTCTAAGAATTGTGTTTGCCCTATTTGTTTGACCTTCCATGGGTTGTGTTTCATAAACATCTAACTCCATTATAAGGCCGTAGGCATGAAACCTCGAGAATAAAATTAAAAATTAATTACTTGTTTTGAATGTAATTATCTTTGTGATAAAAATTAACATTTAAAAAAAAATTATGATTTCTGTAACAAACGAAACAATAAAAGAAAGAAATATTTAGTGGTCATTCCATCTTCTTAATTCACTGCTTCCGGTTATCACACTTTGAATATCCACTTTAAAGCTAGTTCAGTTTAATTTCACTTAAATTTTCCTCGGCAATTTTGAAAACACAGATGGCCTACCCTGAAAACACATGACCTACCCTGAAAACTTTTTATTAAAAAGAAAACTCACCTGCCACTTGCCATCTTCACAAAGTCTTTTAAAAAACTGATTGTGTTGGACGAATCACAGTTGAAAGAAACAACATGTACGGGTGCTTTTCTCTGGGCATTAGAAACCTGTAGTCAAATAGAGATTAACAATTATTGAAATAGAGTTTGATTAAGCCTGCACTCCAGGCTTAAGTGACAGAATTAATTTTAGAAATCAAATAGTGACCAAGTGAGACAGATAACATTCTTTTTTCACTGACTTAAAAAAAAAATAAATTAATTTTAACATTTATTGCAGTACTTTTCAAAAGCTTCCCAAATTAAGCTTGTGCCAAAAGTAACAGTGATGAAATTCCCACATATTGAACACGTTTATCAATGGTGCATGGCTACAACTGCAGACATGTTTACAGAAGTGAAATGGAAGAGATGTTGGGCGTTTGTTTTTGGAAATGGGTCCCTCAACAGAAGGAAATGTAGTCAGTGGAGCATTATTTTCCACAAAACATAAGTGATCAAAGGGTGTGAATGTATTTTGGTGCCGTCTTATTCAATTTCTCTCTCTGAATTGTTCTGCCAACTTTTTTCAAACATGATCACGCTTTCTGATCACTTACGTAAGAGCAAAATCATAAACTATGAATTATTTCTTCTTCTTCTGAGAGACCCACTTCCAATTACTGCCCATCATATTATCATTTTCACTTCTAGGAACACATGGAGACTAGAGCTAAGCATCTTTGACAAATGGACGTACACTTTCAAGATTACAGAGTTTCTGCATTGCTACTTTTGTTTTTGTTTTGAGCGAAATTTTGATTACTTTTTAATTTAACTTTAACTGGCATAATATTAATATTAATTTGTTATAATTTTTACGATATTACTTAACAATTGAAAATAAATATTAAAAATAACCATTGTCACTTATGTAAATAATAATAAAATAATAATAAAGTTTATTTCAAAAACACGCTTCATTCCCAAAGGCTCGAAGAGGGGCACAAATTCAACAAAAAACAAATCTATAATTTACCACATTTGAAACAAACGCAACACTACAAAAACTAATTACAAGCATATAATGGCAAAGTCTTTCTAGCCATTTCAACCATACGCAACACAGTCATTATGCATTAACTGGAAAATAAGGTTGACAATCATCCCAGAAGGTGTTTGCGAAATAGATGTGTCTTTAAATCGGTTTTAAAGGACTCCAGTTTCTGGTTGTTTCTGAGATCGATAAAAAGGGTGTTCCAAATTGTTGGACCAACAAATGCGAAAGTGCGCTTTCTGTAAGTCTCAAGGCAAACACATGGTGTTGAGAGTTTGCCACTATCGGATGAGCGGAGCTCTCTAGTGGGTACATAAGGCGTCAGCAGCTCTTTCAGATAGGACGGCGCCAGGTCATGTAAGCAGCGGTAGCACAAAGTTGCGATTTTGTACTCTATGCAAGATAGCACTGGCAGCCAATGCAACTCTCTCAGAAGTGTTTTTGCATGGTCAAACTTGCGTTTGCGGAGAACAATGCGAGCCGCATTATTCTGTGCTATTTGAATTTTATCCAGGAGTGTAGCTGGAAGACCCACCATGAGAGCATTGCAATAGTCCATGCGTGATAGCACAAATGCAGACATCAGCCTCTTTGTTGTATCAATTGTTAGGAAGGGCCTGATTTGACTAATCCTGCGCAGCTCCATGAAGACCCACCATGAGAGCATTGCAATAGTCCATGCGTGATAGCACAAATGCAGACATCAGCCTCTTTGTTGTATCAATTGTTAGGAAGGGCCTGATTTGACTAATCCTGCGCAGCTCCAGAAAAATCGCCTTGCATAGCATGTTAATATGACTTTCAAAAGTTAGTCTTCTATCTAGGTAGACACCCAGGTACCGCACTGTTTGAGCTAACTCAATACGCACACCTGAGAGAGTAATGGATGTCGTGTTATTTGCAGATTTTTGCTTCTGAGCGGTCGCAATGGGGAGCAGCTCAGTCTTATCATCATTTAATTTGAGCTTGTTTATGGTCATCCAGTGCTTAACCGACTCCATTGTCTTCTGTGTCATACTGAGCAGCTGAGGGAACTGAGAAGGGATCACGGATTGATGAAGTTGTGTATCATCCGCGTACATGTGATACCAATGTCAAACTGCCTGATCTCTGCACCCAGGGGCTGAATGTACATCGTGAAAAGCACCGGGCCTAGGACTAAGCCCTGGGGTACTCCGAATTCGATATTAGATTTCTTCGAGGTCAAGTCGTTTGAAATAACTGACTGGACCTGATTAGTCAGATTCGATCGGAACCAACACAGGGCGGTATCAGTGAGACCGAACGTTTGTTGCAGACGCTGGAGCAAAATCAGTCTTCAAATGTGGTTATTGAAATATTAATACTAGCCACTAACCTTCTGTTTCAATATCTCTTTCCCACATTCAACTGATGTCCCTTCAGTGTACAGGTAAACTGCCTCAATCTAGCAAAATGCAAGAAATAATATTATTCATAATTTTAAAACTTTGTCTCATTTAAATGTTTCTTAAAATGATAGATCAAAAGAAGCACAAAAAAACTTAAAAATTGCATATCTACGTTTTTAGAATGCAATAGAAAAGGATAAATAAATATGTCCTTTTATTTCTTTTTCATATAAAATATGTATCTTTAGCGTCTGATAAAAGGTTTCTCCTTAAAAGATTAATTATTTTTTGTTAGCAAAGATTCACCCATAATTATTTTATTTTAATACTTTTAACCTAGAATGCAGTCAAACCTTGTATAAGCCTTCTATTAAACATAATATAGCATACATGGTTATCCTCAAAAGCTCTGAGAACAGCTTCAGCTACTGAAGAGTTGGCGACTTTAACCATGCGATCTAGGCTCCACATCCACTCTATAGCATTTTCAACTGTATCATGGGATACTGGTACACACTCAGGGCTAAATGATGTAATGTCCTCACATGCTCTAAAACAATCAAACAAACAAAAACATTAAGCTTTAATCTAGTTCATAAAAATCCAATGTGCAACAGACACAATTATAGTAATTAACTTTCTTGTTTACGGAGTTAGTTGGCTTCTCATCCATTTAAGTTTTCTTATTTATTTTAAAAAATGATAACAATCCAAATAGCTGTAAATATTCAAGATAAGAATTGAGGGAAAGGTTCAAGCCGTGCAAAGTAAATAAATAGTGGAACAAGATAGATTTAGGCTTGAAAATAAAAGCAAGACAATTTAGCAGATGTTCCTGTTAGATGCCTTATTCTAGATGTTCGCTTAATTGTCTTAAATATTCAGATACTTTTTTTTTTAAAACATTGATGCCTTTTGTTTATTCCTGCATATTTCCAGCAGCATATAATTATTTTTTCACCAAAATAAATTGCATATTAGGATGAGTAGTAGTGTCAAATTGAAAAAAAAAATTATATAAATTATTATAAAGGACCATGTATTTATCTCTATGTGCTTAGGGGGTCAAATTAAAGTCAATATGAAATAAAAGAACAGCTCGAAGCGTGTATCAAAATACATTAGTTAGCATTAAACAAGTACCATTAAGAAAAACTAACCTAATGAGATTAAATTTGGCAATCTGTGATACTTGTTCTCTTATGACCCTCTCAAGTGCAACTCTGTACTGGTCAAAGAGTTCAGGGTCCATGTTCTGAATGTCCAGAACTATTGTGATTGAGCGCTCTTCAATCACTCCAAATATTCTCCTGCTCTCTGTGGTTAGCCATTCCAATCTCCTTCTAAAGAGGTTGACAGACTGCAGGAGACGCTTCTCCAGTTGAAGGAGTTTGTCCTTCGAGCAGTTGACCTAGATTTATTTTAAAAAATGGATTGTTCAGGTGCTTATTCTACAACATTATTTCTTTAATTGAAGAAGATACATTTTTTAAAAAGCACTTTAGATCTACTGGTTGCATTAAACTGATACAAAATAAACGTCCTCCACTGTAATAAACAAGTTTCCTTTACCATCCATCAGTCTAATGACATTTAAGCTTCAACATGCAGACATAGTTCAACCATAAAAATGTTTTTTGAATATAGATTTTATAAACAGCTTTACAGAAAAATTAAAAGGAGACAAAATCTCATACAGAATCCGTATTAAAAAATTTTATGTCAATAAACATGACACCATTTCAATGGATAGTGATTTTAAATTATTGATTTTAAATTTGCAAATTTAAATTAGTGAATTTAAATTAGTGATTTTTAATAGGTTGGAGAGGAATAATAATAGCTCTTTAAAAATGTTTATAGGTCATTTCCATGCACCTTTGTCAAATACTAATTGTAATATGAAATACTGAACCAGAAAAAGGCTGAATGCTAAAATTTAGCTAAAATACTCAGAAAACTTTCTACTTACATTAAAAGTTCTTCCATCAGGTCGTAACAGCTGGCTGAATTGCCCTTCACAGTAACGGGAGCTAACAGGTTTTTTCAGAGCTTCATCAAATTCTTTGAGGAAACATTATCACATATTATTATTAAAAGTTAAAAATGAAATGCGGTTGGTGCAATTATGTTTGTTTTAAGTTTTTCTAAAAAGTTTAGCATATTTAATTTGAATAAAATCACTATAGTACTGACTTCAATACATGGCACTGTGAACTTTAGATCACTAACATATATAGATAATATTTCTGAGTTCAAGGTAAATTAATTGCAATTTCTTACCATCACTAATTTTAAACCCAATAGATGGGAGAATTTGATTAAGTTGCAGACGATTCTTTTTAAGCCCATAGTTTTGCAACCATTTTCGGGAAGATATAAGGGAACGCACATCAAGTTCCCACTCTTTTGGTCTTTGCGGCTTCATCTGTAAGTCTTTTAAGTTAATTATATCTTTAGCTTCATTTTGCTTTGAGCATTTTGTGCTGTGCAGTGCAGTTTTGTGGCTGATATCAAATTTGACATCTAAGAGTAACACAAATAATTGTTTTAATTGGGACTGGAAGATAAATTAAAATCTAAAGCAAACGTCATAATACTAGAACTTTTTTAAAACACAAATACACCATTAATTTGTTTTTTAGTTCCTTTTTACAATGCTAACTAAATTGCAGAGATGCATTTCTAAATCTCATTATAAAAATTTTCCATGATTATAATATTTAAGACAAAATAGCTTAAAATATTTATTTACAAAAAAATGACACAAAAATCTCTTCTTCCTTGACATTTCAAATTTTCTATAATATGTAACCAAGCAATGGTGATATAAATACAATATGTTTAAAAAAAAAAAAAGTATTTTTAAACCTATTTGATTTCAATGTCAGGATAAAATAAAATAAAAAAATTTAGTGATCTCTTTATTTATAGTGCTTGAGAACTCCTCTTAAGTTTAAATAGTAACTCTGATGTTTCTATCAGAGAATGCAATTTACCTTAATTAACAAAAGTAATAAATAAAACAAGAAAACAAATAGAAAATGATAGGCATGGTTGATTAGATTAACTGTGAGTCTGCCATTGATTGTATCCCTTGGCTATAGCATACACATTGCACACATTGATTCGTGATATAATAAGACTAAAGTATGAGAGTTGGGCCATGGAGAATCATTGATTGGACCAGCAGTCCATCAAGCTAATGGAACTTTTCTGGTCCATGTTTATCCCTCCCAATCCTTTTTATGTTGCTTTTAATTAGTAAGGGACATGCACAAAAAGAATCAACAATTCAATGAGATTGAGGGTGATAGACATTAACTTTTATAACATTTTCCCTACATGAGTGTTTGTTTATAACACACGCAAAAAATAAATGGAAACTAAATTACACCATTGTTATTAGCTGAAAGACAACTCAAACAAACAAACAAATGATCAGAATGAGGGAGTAACCCATGACCTTCACATTATCATCACAAAAAGCTGCCAACTTAGCTAACCAGCTGTTATATTTTGTTGTTAAAATTAGAAACCCAAAGTAGTTAAAGTTATTCCATTGTTATTATGGCTATGCTATATTCTTGAAGCTTTATTTAATCAAATATTAGCTTCAAATTTGTATCTACACATTTATAAAAATAGGTGATTTAAGAATGTGCAAATTTTTTATAGATCAAAATTTACTTCAGTACTAAACTTTGTATCATATATCTTCTATATAGGATAAGCAGAACTTAGAGAAACTTTGGCTTGAATTTTTAAAGACTTTGATCAAACAACCCACATTCCAAGTGAAATAAAATCTTTTAATAAAAAGATATTTAAACATCTGTTTAGCCACTATAAAAAACAACAGCCCATTGTTACATTATTAGTTGATTAATTTTAGAGTAAATTTAACTGGAGGGGGTTTGATTTATTTTTATATGCAGTTTACCAAAATTCTCAGTTTATTTTGGTCTTGGACAACTTCCTGTCACTACTCAAGTAGTGTATCATTCCTCCAGCAATCAAGTTACGTTACTTTTTTAAATAATTTATATTAACTTCACATTTGTTTGTGGCTGGCTGGGTGGCAAAATTTTTGGAGGGCCTATTGACCTACTTCCCATCAAGCTATTGAGCTGAAACTTGGTACATGGACTTGTTGCCAAAGACAAAACATTCTATCAAATTTTCAGTCCAAGCCAGCAAACCCAACCCACAAAAATTTGTTTTTCCCTTTTTTTCAAGGGTAAAATAAAATTGCTGATAACTGTGCTAAATGCAATTCTTTTTTTAAAAAATATCACAAGTGAATTTGGTGCATATTATTTTCTTTTGTTTTTCTAAAGTTGTTGGTGAAATAAATCTGCAGTATAAAAGTGGGTGGGTCATTAGAATATTAATAGAGTTCAGTGGTGTGAAAAAAATGTGGAGTTCCGAGCCTTAAGGGAGAGAGCCCTAATTGGGATTCTTATAAAGTGTGTTATTTTAATGACATGTTTTATCTTATTTTCACACACCCTCAATGCTTGACATTACCTTTTATAAAGTATTTATCTAACTATGTTTTTAGGGGTTGTTTAATTTCTCATTCTCTTTTGTGTTTTTTTTTTTTCAGCAGATGGAGGCTTTCAGCTGAAACTTTATTTAAATTGTTCTGTATTTTCATTTAAGGTTTCCTGCTCTGACTAAATTATTGTTTATTTCAGTAGGCCTATTGTGAGCTGCTGTGTTACATGAGGTATGAGGGAAATCTTTTTTTTTTAAATGATTAGAACTAGTGGTCTTATGCAGCATATAACAAAATTTTAAGTTTGGACAATTGTTCATTTAGAGTTTTTGTAGAGATGTGTCAAGTTGGTCAAGTGTTCAGTTATGACCTTTTCTAGAGATGTGTCAAGTCGGTAAGTATTCAGCTATGAGTTTTTGTAGCGATATGTCTTTTAATTCTTCTACATCAATGATGGCTGCTGCTAAGTTGTGAAGCATATCAAAACAGTTTTCTGATATTCGACGACTTTTCTTAGCCTCTAGCTTTTGTTTATGACCTTTTTGTTGGCCATTGTAAACCATATTTCTTTGCATTGATTTGTTTAGCTCATTTAAGCTGGAAAAGATATTTTCCCAGAACGCCAACTGGTCTGTAAAAACCACATCATGCCCTAATGAAAAGAGCTTTCTAAGTGTGTCCCCTTCAGGGTGGGGGTGTGTTGCATGAAAATAAGTGATGAAAACTTGCAATATTTTTCAGACATAAAAAAGCCCAAAAGTATGGTACGCTTGTGATTTCCTCTTTGGTCACATGGATTTAGTCACCTTTTCCAACTGTTATATGTATTATCTGGCATCATGCATGATCTTGTATGCCAAAAAATGTTTATGCCATACGTTTGGCTTTGTTTGTTGTCTTTTCATTGATATATTTCATATCTCTTAAATTTTTAATCTGGAACATACTGTCAGCTTCTTAGACTCCTTTGATGCGTACAACCTGGGTAATTTTTATAATAAAGAAAATCTTGATTTTCAAAGACTATTTTGAAACCATGCTAAACGTGTCACTGTCCCTCTAGTCTCTTGACTAATGTGTAGACCAGCAAAGTAAGGCTAACAGACCGGCACCGGTCCACAGATCACTATTTGGGGAATGCCTGTATATTATATATGCATCTTTCATCAACTTTTAAAAAAATATAATAAAATGTATGAAATAATTCTTCTCAATATTGGTAAAACTGGGCTTGAAAAACAAACAGAACAGAAATGGGAATCTTTTTAATTTAAAAATTAATAAAATATTGAAAACAAATATTACTTACTTAGCATTGGTTAAATTTTTTTATCCCAAATAAGTTTTATTAATTTTAAAAAAAAAATATAATATAGAAAAACTGCACAAAATATTATGAAATTATGAAATTGGGCCTACTAGGCTTTTTCATCCTTTTTTACATTCCTTATTTTCTGTGATAGAGTATAATTAATGCAATGGATAAAAAAACAACAGATGTAATGCCATGCAGTCAATTGTTATAATCTTAATTAAAGTTGAAAACATTCTTATTCCTGTAAGGTGATACATTTTGAAAAATTCTACCACAAATGTTCAAAACCATAAAGCCGTAAATTGCATAAATGTATCAGATGGTGGGTCTTCCACTGGTTGGAAATGCTTGATTTGAAGACCCTTAAACAATATGATGCGAATAATATTTCCTTTTTTTATCAACATCAGATTTTTAAATAATTTTGAATTGAAATTTGACTAAATTTAAAATGTTGTTCTTTTAACTTATTGTTAGACCTCAAGGCAATTAAATTGAAATGCTTTAGTTTCAATTTTTATAAAATAATTGTTTGAGTTAGATCCTATTTTATTTTGAATCATGTGTTTGCACTATTTATCTTTAAGTAAGGTGCAAGATGAAATATAATTTTCAATTTATTTTTGGGAGAATTAAACGAGACACAGCTAAACATTTTGACATACTCACTTGAACTTGAAGAATATGAATAATTTATATCATAAGATGTAAGCTTAGACGTTAGAGCAGTCATTTTTTTTTTTAAGTAGTGGTATTCAATTTCAATTTGAACTGCTTGAGAACTACATCAAAATGGGCCTACCTGAAAAGAATTTTTTAAAAAAAACGTCATAAAACAAAATATTTTATTCCAATTTTTAAAATATGTGCATTGTCATCTTATTTTCTGACATCATGTTCATTTTCCAACTACATGAAATTGTGAAACTAATTTTTTAAGCTTTCTTGTTGCCAAGTCTAAATACAGAGGCAAAGCTTATTTCAGAAAATGGTCTGCTTTATGCTCTTGCGGAGACTGTCCAGATAATTTCTTAATGTGCAAAAAAGAAGCAAGCACAACCATCTCACACATTTTATGCTCTTAGGTTGCGAAAATTTTAACATTTTGTTGTACTCAACAACAACATTTTTCAGTTTGTTTTCTTTTAAATAATTTCAAAGTTGGTAACTTCCACCGACATTTTGTAACTTTTAATTGTTTCTTGTACAATGTACAGAGCACAATAATTTTTTTTAAAATTTCATTCTTTCGTAAATATATATGAAGAAAGATTATCATTGAGTATAAAGAGACAATAAATTTATAAAATGTATATCAGTAAATGATATTCAATACCTGCACCCAATCCCAACTTCTCAACACTTTTTTCTAAATTTATAGGAATAGTCCTGGTTGTGGGTCACCACAACTTGGCATTTGTTATCAAGGGGTCTAGGGAATTTTTATCAAGGAGTCTATATAATTGTTATCAAGGGGTCTAGGGAATTGTTATCAAGGGGTGTAGGGAATTTGTTATCAAGGGGTCTAGGGAATTGTTATCAAAGGGGTCTTGGAAAATTGTTGTCAAAGGGTCACTGCACTGAAAAGATTGAAAACAGCTGATCCACTCAAGTCTCAAGCAGCGAGTTAAACTTTTAAAAGAGGTCTTTGTTTATTTCATTCTAAAGACTGTATATATATTTATATATATATATATATATATACATATATATTACGGCCAAGCCCGAAATTTAGCCAGTTCCTGAATCGACTGGCCATTTTGCCCTTTGGCCAACAGATTGACTTGACTGTTGTAACTCTCTTGGCAAAAGCCCTGTCCAATATTCGATGTGCTGATGCAAGACTAACAATGCAAACAGTTTCTGTGTAGTGTGTAAAAAGAGTTTAATTCAGCCCATTCTTGTGGATACTGCGGCAGTGATGTTCACGCAATTTGTGGAATAGGTAATGAAGCAGACAAAGCGTACGGATGGAAAATTACTTGCAGACTATGTCATAATCTTGGTTACATTCTCTCTGACAACATTTCTCTCAATAATCATATTTCTCACATCTGCCGCTCTGCATACACTGCTATCCGTCAGATCAGTTCCATCCGCCACTACCTCACAACAAAAACATTAGTCTGTGCTCTTGTTCTCTCTCGTCTTGACTGTTGTACATCTCTTCTTCACTAAAAATTTAATAGAAAACTATAGAAAGTTCAAAACACAACTGCTAGTTAAGTTCTAAAGACAATACAAAGAAATGTGATCACATCACTTCACTACTTCACTCACTTCATTAGCTCTCTATACAGGCGCGCATTGATTTCAAGCTGTCTGTTCTCTGTCACAACTTCTTTTCTGGTTGATGCTCATCCTATCTTACTGATATTCTTACTGTCTATTTACCCCTTCAAAAGCTTCATTCTTCCACAGACATGCGTATTCTTTGTGTTCCCACAACATGCACTAAAACATATGGTGAACGATCTGTCTCTTTCTGTGCCCTAACACAATGGAATTCTCTCCCATTACACATCCGCTATATAATGACCGTCACAGCCTTCAACTCTGCCCTCAAGACCCATCTCTTCAAACAGTACTAAATCGACTCATTCTCACCCCCTTCTGACTGATAAACAACTCTCAATTCTGCTGGGTGCTGTCCATGGCTAGACAGGGGTAGATAGTACTTGGTTGGGTGTGGTCAAGCTTTTCACCAATTGTTGTTTTTAAACGTTATATGTTTCTTTAATTGCTAATTTTTATTTGAAGTGCGGTGAGCCTAGCCCTAGGCTGGGATACTGCACTATATAAAACCACCTAATAATAATAATAATAATAATAAAATAGAAATCAGGAACATGAGATCAGCAGCTCATGCTAGTTTGCAAACTCAAGGTGCCAAGATTTTTTTTAAAATTCAGATGCAAAATTCCCACCAGCGATAGTTGGAGATAATGTATACATCCTTGTACCAGATGTTGACAGAGGTTGCGGTGATCCACAAAGCATCCTTGCAGTTGTTATGAACGTCGAGGGCGCTTTCTACAAGCTAGAAATAGAATACGGTGTTCTCAAACAACAGTATTCAAAAAGTGAGTTTTCCATTCTGCACGAGAAACTGATCATGTTATCACCGGTGGGCACAGAAAAATCAGTACGAACCGTCGCGTCTTCACAATCACTGATCAGCGGCCAAGGCTACACTCAATGCAATGGCACTACCAAGTGCTCAACAAATCATTGCAAATCTAAAAATAACAAACTGCTGTATGATTTGGAATATCATAAAAGTTCATTGTTGTGACACATGATGATAGAGATTGATAATTTACTATAATAAACTAATTTGACTGATTTGGTAATTTGATACAATTAATAATCAATAAAATGTGATTATCATTACGGTATACCAACATCCAAAATCTGATCATGACCTTTATCTTCTGACTTTGGACAATCGCCACATGCCATTTCGCAAACTGGCTGGCTAAATCCCGAAATCAAGAAAATATCGGACATTGGCCAGTCAATGTTAGGCGATATTGGCCATTTCCTGATTTGGCCAGCCAGTTCCCACTTTGGCTGAAAGATATATAATAAAACAAACATTTTCCATATGTGGTTGTCCATAAAGGAAATCCTGACAAAATACACATTTTCTAAACCCCCCCCCCCCTGGCTGCAAATGGGGGTTGGGGAAATCCACAGACACATAGAAAATTACAGTGTGAAATGCCAGGATATTTAATGATTATAAAAAAACAATTAGCCACTAGATTTAAACTTCTGAATCATTATGATATGGGTCTATCCATTACGTACACACTGTGGGGAGGGGGTTGTAGATTTTGGAGATTATGCATACTTGTGTACTGGGTGGTTTTGGTGGTCTGCAGAAAGTATGTACATTTAATGATTATCTTGAAATTCTGACACTCTCTAACATCTCTAGTAAAGCCAAAAGTGACCCAAAAATCTGTAAAATACATGATATTTAATTATTTTAAAAATTTTTAGATAAATCAATACAATGTTTTGTCTTTATCGTGGTGGCACTGTTGCTTTTGTGTGAAATAATTTTTGATGTATTTATTTCTTTGAACTGAATCTAACAGCTGCACAGGAGGATAAAAAAAGTGGGGGGACCGTCGGCACATTTTAAACATGCTTTTGGCTAGTTTCCCAAGCTTTATTTTACCCTATGCACCAACTGATTACCAAAATGTTTAATCCCTGCCCCCCCACTAATTAGTGGGAAGTATAAAAAAGGGGTCTTAATGCAATCTTAGAGAAAACTGAATTTTAATTTTGTTGCCATTTAGGCTTTAAGATTCACAATTTTAGGTTAAAACTAACACAAAAAGAAGTGAAATATATTTGTATAACAATATATGAAAAACATAAAAGATGGTTAACTTTAGAAAAATAATACTTTAACACTACCCCCCCAACTCAACCACCCCCTCCCCATTCTGAAACAAAACAAACAAACATAAGTCTCAAGAAGACCTATGGAGGCCAACAACATTATAGTGAAGCTGGAGTCTTATATTCATTCTAACAAATCATTATGAATAATCATATTCAGATGCCCTTAATAGTTCAGTCAAAGCCAAATTTTAAGTAAATAAATTACTTAATATGGTAAATTTATGCCATCCAACTCCCACTATTTACCATATTTGTGCCCAACTTTTTTTACCTGGCTGCTATCTTTGTTGCCATGACAGCAGACACAGATGACGACCTTGTCAAAAAAGTTGTGCACAAACATATCTGCTAAAATGGGGAGGGGAATGGGAGAGATTGAAGAATTTTTTGTTTTTCTTGTACTGAGAAATCACAAATTTTAATAAAAAGATTAAAATTATGTTTAAAACGTTCAAAATAATGAAAACTAGACTTCCAGTTTCATGGAATACACTTTTACACACTTTATTACAATTTCCACCATAAATCAAATCTCAAAATCCTAAATCTATTTATCAAATGATCAGACTAGACTCGGACCTTGTTTTCAACTGTCAGTTGAAATTACAAATTCCATTCCATTCCGTCAGCGTATAAAAAAAGAGAATTAGTTAACCCAAGTAACAATTCATGACTAAACAAAGGGATCTCTCTCATATACAGAAACTGAAACTCAGGTAGTAGTCGTAAAGTAAAGTATAAATTGACCATTACAAATAATTACTACAACTAAGTCTTGTTCGTACTATTTTAATTTCATAAAATAAAGTGTTGTTTTCAATAAAGTAAACCAAGCATTTATTCATAGTATAGGCCTTATGCCTGCACTGCAAATACAAAACTCCATACACTGCTACTTTACAGATACTAAAATAGCCTAGCCTATGAGTCTACTACAATCTTATCCACAATCCATCTTACACAGAGTTAGAATACTCTACGGCTACGGCGAGTCTACCGACGTCATATTTATGACAATACAAATATATTGTGAAAACTTAAGAAAAGATATATGAACTATTACTTTACCATACAAAAGTCCAGTTTAGGAACAAATATCCTTATAAAATAAACTACGCAACATATTTTGATGTTTTTCCGAATAAATAAATCGGTAGTGATTATTTTCTGTCAGCTGTATCTTGGCAATTCGGTCGCCATATTGTACACAATAGTGTTGCTGGGGCGGTTTGAGAGGTAAAAATTTTTTTTTTAAAAATCATTGCATATTTTTAAATGTGAAATCATTAGTTGATCAATAATTAATCCTATGACACTTATTTTAAATGTAAAAATAATAAATACTTAAAAATATATTTAGCTAAAATATTTTAAACATAGGTACGGCTAAATACCACCTAAACCATAATGTGTTTTAAATTAAACAATTCGAATACTAATAATAATGATGTTTTAATACATTACAAATACATTTCAAACCTTCAGCGCTTTAAAATTAACTATTAAAATCACAATTTTTTGTATTATTCAAGCCCGGTGACAAACTATTTAGCACCCTAGGCAAGGCGAGCTACGTATGCTTATTTATATTGGCATCAATACTTATTAATTACTGTTTATTAATATTAACAATTTCCAAACAAGTTATATAGTTTCCCGCATATGATGATGATGATTGAGTACTTTTATAGCGCTTGTTCCTGTGCTATTTTAGCATACTCACAGCACTCTTCTGTCCTAAAATCTTTTAAAGAAAAATGCCTTTAAATGATTCTTAAATGACTTTTTATAATTTTCATTGCCCCTCAAAGATTGAGGCAAACTTCTACACAATTTAGGTGCAATCGCTTCAAAAGAGCGCCCTCTGTATGACTTCTTTCTGTGTCCATCCACATTGGGAACTCTCAGTCTCACTAAGAGCGCGGATTCTGTATGGATATATTTTTATAAATCATAGGCGTGGTCCTGTTAGTATTTTGACTTATTGTGGGTTATATTTATATCTTTTAATAGCTTTAATACCATTAGCAAATTTGAAACCCCCGTGAAATGCCCCTCCCACCTTTAATCCACATGTGATTTGAGACAAGAGAGATAACTTGCTAAAACCTACAGCTACTAAGCTTTTCGAGATTTTAATAATTTTTACAACAAAAGAAAAAAAAAAAGAATTTATTAAGAAAAGTAGATTTAAGTTAGATTACATTAAAAATAAATAACATTTTTTTAATTATTATTTTTTTTATAAATGTCACATATTGACTTGACCATATTGTACATGCTTGTCACGCTGTCGCGTAACTTATCAAATAAACTCTTGCTGATGGGAAATTTTTCTATTACAAATGCATGTGGTTTGTTAGAAGGACATATTTATTTTTCACACTTGATCCTGTCTTTCGATCACTTCAGTCTTCCCCGTATTGACATGTTAAGTCACAAAGAGTGATGACATAAAGTTACAGGGCTCTGGTGTGCTGAGTTGGAGTGGGTGGGGGGTTGGTAGTGAGTGATGGAGAAATAAGAAAATGCGATTTTAAAAAAAAAACAACCCTACCATTTGGATTACAATAACCAGTGGTCCTAACTGTGGGATGGTGGAAGGTGTTGGGCAGAGCATTTTGGAAATTAGAAACTGATTGACGGAAAAGTAATTGTTAAATACTAATTTTTACTTTTATACCTAGCTACGTCACTATACCATGATTTTGTAAACATGTGTTGTTAAAAATTCTTCTGTAGATAATTAACATATAAACATTTTCATAGTGAAAATTGGAGAAAAAAAAATTTTCAACTTAAGAAAGACTTTCTATCGAAGACGATTTTAAGCACACTTAAAAACGTAAAAGTCGAAAATGCTAACATTTCTTTAAAAATCATTAATAGCAACAACAAAAAATTTAAATATAAGTTTCTTTTGGAATCCATTGTCTTCATAGAGTGAATTTCTATCCTTCTGCCCATACTCCTTTGCATAATTAATTTTAAGAAGAAAAAATAATAATTTTTAAATGCGCTTAAACTCGTCTTAAAAAAAATTTTTTTTTTTTTTTTTTTTTTTGTTTTTTTTTTAAATAATTAAAAAATATTTGTCCCCCCATTGCTTGATACAACAATAGACACATTCAGTGGCGTAGCTAGCTAGAGTTGTGCCACCTGGGGCGTTCCTTGGGTTTGCAGCCGTTACTCATGAAAACCACAAAACTATTCTGTATAGTCCAATACATCTACAAACGTTTACCATATTTTTTTATATTATGTATTATGCTGTCTTCTTTGAATTTTTCCTTACATTGTGTTTCTTTTTTTCTTTCTGTAAAAATGATCGCAGTTACCCCTCTTTATTAATTTTTTTTTAAAAATAACAACTATTTCTTTTATATTTATATATTATATATAATATTTTAAATAATATTATTAATGTCTTTATATTTTAAAGTTGTTCAATTTTCTTCTTTCGCAATTTGGTAAAACCTTCAGAAAGAACACAATAATTGATGACGTTTCACGAATCATAAACAGGAAAAATGGCCCCAAGAGTTTGCATACTCTGTTGTCAGGCAGTAAAATGGGCCCCTGTAGTCTTTATATCCGCTATTGTTGGCTGGTCGTACTACGCTTATGTTGTTCAAATGGCTATCTGTAAGTTCAAAATGAAATTCCGTGAAGATATTTAAATAACTTGTGTCAATGTTTCCATGTCATTTTCTTCCTTGACTCGGTGACAGTGTGAGTGTCCCTCTCAGTACCGGTAGGCCTACTACTACCAGTCTACTCTGTCTCTGTAGTCTGCGTTGGCATTTGTGATTTCTTTTATCTCTTTTAAGACTTTCTTGGTAAAAGTGCAGTTCAGGTGCGTATATTATGTCTTGGCGCATTTCGTATTTTATCATGTAAACTTACGTGTATTGTTTATAAAAAGTATTTTAAAAGTAAAATACCATCTTTTTATTGGAATACAACAACAATTTAACACATTTTACGAGATAAAAAAAAGTACATTTTCCTGAATCTTTTGTCTTTTACGGAGCCATTGTGGTAAATCATGGATAACTCTTCTGTCTTTAAAGTTACGTTATAAAAGTTGCCCAATTGGATGAATCTTGGTTAAAATAAATGTTGTATTTATTTTATAACTTTACTTTTAAATAAAACCGGATTTGCTCAGGATTGCATTCAGAAAAAAAAGTCTGCTACGTCCTTTTAATTCACATTGCTATTAAACGAAATATCAACAACAAAAAAAACACCACTATAGGTAAAAAAAAATAATTAATTTGTCTCCTATAAAACCACTTAAAAGTAAATAACAAATACCTTATGTAAACATTTTGTTTTTCCCGTTTTCCGATGGCACCCAGAAGGATCATGATGGGATCCAGATTCCGGTAGAATCCTGGTCATGGTGGGATTCCGATCCCGGTAAGATACCGATCCCGGTGAGATCCCGTTTCCGGTGGTATCCCAAACTAAATGAGATCCCAATCCGGTGGGATCCCATTTCCGGTGAGATCCCGATCCCGGTGGGATCCCGATTCCGATTGGATCCCGTTTCCGGTGAGATTCCGATCCCGGTGGGATCCCGATCCAGTGGGTTCCCGATCCCGGTGGGATACCGGTTACGGTGAGTTCCCGTTTCCGGTGAGATCCAGATCCCGGTAATTATAGGGAACTCACATACTTGACACACGTAGCCAGTTTACAAGCCACATAGCAATGGTTACGAGCGCCTTACGAGAAATTCCATAGTTGTATTAACGTTATTTGTTGTCTCACAAAGTGCGCGAATAAACCAAAATGCTAAAAATTTCCGTTGGATAAACATTCTTGGTCGTCCTGCCATTTTTAACAAAATGATCCCACTACCCGCAATACCGCAAAACGAGTCCGTCTTATTACTAATCACTAGCCCTCACTTTACTCAGCGCAAATCAGTCACCATTAATAAGCGCATTTGCATACGGAAAAAGGGGAGGGGTTGCTCAAATTAGAGCTGACCAATCACGGACAACGTGTTTGCAGCCATCAGTATGAGATGACTATCAATAAATGACCCCACACTATTATTCCGATTTCCCGCATTTCTGCAACGTCATAATTTTTTTTTTTTTTTAAAGTGGACACGTGATCAATCATATGGCTCGTACCGTATTCGTGCCCCCCCCCCTTTTTCCACATTTTTTTCAGCTTCACTCCAGGACAATGATGACTTGTGTCCGCTGCCTTAGTTGGTGATCATCTTCTACCCCCCCCCCTCTTTCCTTTCTCCAGTATTTCTTTATTTTTCGGTGAACATGCCTACAGTTTGAAAATTTCGTTTAGCATACTATAGGTGATTAAAAATCTGGCCATAGGGTGGGAAAAAAAAAACAAAGCAAATGGGGCTATGCGTCTTTGGTTTGGGGTGTAAAGACGATTTAGAAATCAAAGAAAAAAGAAAAAAAGTGCTGTATTAGTCAGGATTAATTAACTATAACTGCCTGGATTTAATTAATAAAGAATACACGTAAGTTTACATGATAAAATACGAAATGCGCTAAGAAATAATATACGCACCTGAACTGCACTTTTACCACTTTCTTTCTACTTGCAGACCCATGGTGTTTTTAATTTTGTAGCATAATTTTTTGGCTAATGCAGAGAATTGGTGCCATTTACTTCATTTAGTGTTCAGGTTAGGTTTTTTGTCAGGTAGGCCTAATTATTTATTTTAGGGCAATAATTTATAAATTCCTACTTCCTATACTACTATACCTAACGGCTTGGTAATGGAATTACACTAATAGTAGTACTATGGTAAAGAAAGGGAGACTATTAAAAAATTTGTATTGGAAATGGGCATCTGCGCACAAAAATCCAAGTTTGTAATTTTTTTATGTTTGTGCACTGGCTATTTCATTCATAAATGAATTAATATAATTTATAATATCCCACAATTTATATTGTGTTCCCATTGCCGGCCTTACTAGGGATAACAATACTTGTCCACGCACCGTTCTGCGCATGTCCCAAAATGTTGAAAAAACGTGTTCTGCAATATGGCGTACAGCAACACGGTATCATTGGAAAATTGCAGACTACGTCACCTTTGTTTATTAAATAATTGCTTTCCTCATCACTGACGTATCAGTTTTTGTGTTCCGGTCATATATTGATTTATGCTACGATATTTTTTTTGCATCACGGGCAGTATTATTATGATGACTCGGTTGGTAT